CTCATTATACTATGACCTTTTTTTGACATTTTATGCCTTACTATACTATGAGTTTTTTTTTGACATTTTATGCCTTACTATACTATGACCTTTTATACCTTACTGTAATATGATGTTTTTGACATTTTATGCCTTACTATACTATGAAGTTTTATCCCTTACAATACTATGATGTTTTTTTTTTTAATTTCATGCCTTACTATACTATGACCTTTTATGCTGTACTGTAATATGATGTTTTTGACATTTTATGCCTTATTATACTATGAAGTTTTTTTTGACATTTCATGCCTTACTATACTATGACATTTCATGCCTTACTATACTATAACATTTCATGCCTTACTGTACTACGACATTTGGTGCCATGCTATACTATGACCTTTTATGCCTTAGTATACTATGAGGTTTTTTTGACATTTTATGCCTTACTATAGTATGAAGTTTTTTTGACACTTCATGCCTTACTATACTATGACCTTTTATACCTTACTGTAATATGATGTTTTTGACATTTTATGCCTTACTATAGTATGAAGTTTTTTTGACACTTCATGCCTTACTATACTATGACCTTTTATACCTTACTGTAATATGATGTTTTTGACATTTTATGCCTTACTATACTATGACATTTTATGCCTTACTATACTATGACATTTTATGCCTTACTATACTATGACATTTTATGCCTTACTATACTATGACATTTTATGCCTTACTATACTATGACATTTTATGCCTTACTATACTATGACATTTTATGCCTTACTATACTATGACATTTTATGCCTTACTATACTATGAGCTTTTTTCCCTTACTGTAATATGATGTTTTTGACCTTTTATGCCTTACAATACTATGACTTTTTTTAAAAATTTTATGCCTTATTATACTTTGATGTTTTTTTGACCTTTTATGCCTAATATACTATGACATTTTATGCCTTACTATACTATGAGCTTTTATACCTTACTGTAATATGATGTTTTTGACCTTTTATGCTTTACAATACTATGACTTTTTTTAAAAATTTTATGCCTTATTATACTTTGATGTTTTTTGACCTTTTATGCCTAATATACTATGATTTTTTATGCCTTACTATACTATGAGGTTTTTTTGACATTTTATGCCTTACAATACTATGATTTTTTTTTAAATTTTATGCCCTATTATACTATGATGTTTTATGCCTTACTATACTATGACGGGTTTTTTTAAATTTTATGCATTACTATATTATAACATTTTTTGCCTTACTATACTATGACATTTTATGCCTTACTATACTATCATGTTTTTTTTTATATTTTATGCCTCATTATATTATGACCTTTTTTTGATATTTCATGCCTTACTATACTATGACCTTTTATGCTTTACTGTACTATGATGTTTTTAACATTTTATGCCTTACTATACTATAACATTTTATGCCTAATTACACTTTGATGTTTTTTTGACATTTTATGCCTTATTATACTATGAAGTTTTTTTTGACATTTCATGCCTTACTATACTATGACATTTTATGCCTTACTGTACTATGATATTTGGTGCCATGCTATACTATGACCTTTTATGCCTTAGTATACTATGAGGTTTTTTTGACATTTTATGCCTTACTATACTATGACATTTTATGCCTTACTATACTATGACCTTTTATACCTTACTGTAATATGATGTTTTTGACATTTTATGCCTTACAATACTATGACTTTTTTTTTTAAATTTTATGCCTTATTATACTTTGATGTTTTTTTTGACGTTTCATGCCTTACTATACTATGACATTTTATGCCTTACTATACTATGATATTTGGTGCCTTACTATACTATGACCTTTTATGCCTTAGTATACTATGAGGTTTTTTTTGACATTTTGTGCCTTACTATACTATGACTTTTCAAGTCTTACTTTACTATGATGTTTTTATGCCTTACTATACTATAACATTTTATGCCTTACTATACGATGACGTTTTATGCCTTACTATCCGATGTTGTTTTTTTGATGTTTTTATGCCTTACTATATGATCTCTGTTGAAGTTTTAATGCTTTACTATACTATGACATTTTTTGACATCTTTCGCCTTACTGTACTATGACTTTTTTTATTTTGGGCGTTACTATAATATGACATTTAATGCCTTAATGTGCTATTAAGTTTTTTGACATTTTATGCCTTACTGTACTATGATGTTTTTGACATTTTATCCCTTACTATACTATGACATTTTATGCTTACTATACTATGACGTTTTTTTGGACATTTCAAGCCTTTAATATACTATGACATTTTATGCCCTATTATACTATGACGTTTTATGCCTTACTATACTATGATGTTTTTTTTTTTATTTTATGCCTTACTATACTATAACATTTTTTGCCTTACTTTACTATGACGTTTTATGTCTTACTATACTATGATGTTTTTTTTATATTTTATGCCTTATTATACTATGACGTTTTTTAATGTTTTATGCCTTACTATACTATCATGTTGTTTTTTATATTTTATGCCTCATTATACTATGATGTTTTATGCCTTACTATACTATGATGGTTTTTTTATATTTTATGCCTTATTAAACTTTGACGTTTTATTTACATTTTATGCCTTACTATACTATAACATTTTATGCCTTACTATACTATAACATTTTATGCCTTATTATACTATGACGTTTTTTAATGTTTTATGCCTTACTGTACTATGATGTTTTTTGATGTTTTTATGCTTTACTATACTATGACTTTTTTCTGACATTTTATGCTTTACTATACTATAACATTTTAAGCCTCATTACACTATGACCTTTTTTTTGACATTTTATGACTTATTATACTATGACGTTTTATGTCTCACTATAGTATGACGTTTTATGCCTTACTGTACTATGATATTTTTTTGACATTTAATGCGTTATTGTACTATGACGTTTTTTGATGTTCTTATGCCTTATTTTACTATGACATTTTATGCCTTACTATACTATGATTTTTTTTTATGTTTAATGCCTTACTATACTATGACTTTTTATGCCTTATTATTTAATTACTTTTTTGATATTTTTATGCCTTAGTATACTGACGTTTTTTGTTTTTTTTTTTTACATTTTTATGCCTTATGATTGTATGATTTTTTGTCTGACTATATTATGAAGTTTTTATGACTTACCATACTATTTGTCACAAACTCACTCTTAGCCTTCAACAAAAAGAAGGAATTACACACACTTTAGAGAAAGAATCAATCATGTTTATTTACATAAAAGAAAGCCAAACATATCAATTAAACGTATGAAATGGCTAGTCAGTTGGTCAGTAATGTTGGTGAGTGAATGAGTGAAACTGTTGTGTTGCATGATACAAATTAAAAGTACAACCAAAGCAAAACAAACAAAAGAAACAATGTGGTGTAAGGGGGAGATCCAGTGATTGAGTGAGAGAGAGACAATGGGGATGGATGGACTTAAATTCATTCTGGGTGGACACCCAGGTGCATCAACGCCATCTCCACCTACCAGGACCTGAAGGGAAACGGAGCAGAAGCAACAAACAATGGACAAAACAATCCTGGAGGCCATGGCAGAGCCAGAGGACTGCATGATTTTATGACATATTATACTATTAAGTTATTCATGACTCATGATTCATGAGTTATTCATGTTATACTATGATGTTTTCATGCCTTACTATACTATGATAGTCATGGGTGTCTAAATGACTTCCATGACAAGGTAGTAGCAGCACTGCAGCCTCAGATTCTCGTTCTCACTGAAAGGAAGTGGAACCTGACATGGTCTTCTGCTGTAGTAGTCCATCCACCTCAAGGTTATACGTGTGGTAAGCTCTGAAACTTTTCTGTTCACCACTCTTAAAAGAGTAAAGAGTGGTTATCTGAGTGACCATAGCCTTTTTCTCAGCTCCAACCAGTCTGTCCATTCTCCTCTGACCCTTTGACCTCTCTCATCAACGAGGTGTTTCCGCCGCAGAGCTGCTGTTCTGACAGTTTGATGGAGGAGAGACTGTGGGAGGATTTGGGAACAGGGTTCAGCTTAAAGTTTGGAGGTTGTGGAGTCACCCATGGGAACCAGTACCTGAGCACTGACACACACCAAGAGACAATCAGGTATCATTTCCTCTGTTCACCCTCTGTTCTGTGTTGTGCATTAAGCTCTGAATGCTGCCTTGAAACTGTGGCTCTGCACAGTTCGTCATGACGCAGTCTGTCCACTGGGTGGTGCTGTTGTAAAGGCATCAGACCATTTTTTAATCCTGCACTGTGAAACACCTGAGACCAGAAATAAACTCCCACTGATCAACTTTCACTCCTTCAATGTTACTACTCTATCGTGTTGCCAACTACTTAAACAGAACAGTGAGCAAGGTGTTGAATTGGATGTTGGGTGTTTTAGTACCTGTCATTAAAAAATAGTCCCACAGTTCAAACTGAGACCTTTAATTTCACCCATTCACTTTAAATATATTGTATTGTGTTGATATTTTGTCAGTTTTTCTTATAATTTCTGGCTGAATTAATTATTTTTTCCGTAAGTTTTTTACAGGTTGAAATGACAAAGCTGAACTTGAGTAATTCATCGGACCCACAGAGGAACATCTAAAGTGTTTCAGCTTAAATGTCTTCAAGGCTTAAATAAATAAAATGAAATATGTCAATATGCAAGTGTTTATAAAACTTGCATGATTAGTCTGTGGATGTTAATAATCTGACGTCATGAAAACCAAAACCTTTAAATGACGATTGGATCGACCAACTTACTGAAGTCTTCAACAATTTCTTTGGTTATAATATAATTTGTTTCTGGCGTTCCAAAGTATTAATCAGTCACTCAGGTCTTCATAATCTGCGAGGAGCGACATTTAGTTTGAAACTTATAGATTCAAAGTCGTGTTAGTTGACATCAGGTAATAAGATTTAAATACTGTGTGAATTTGTTCCTCTCTGAAAAACACACTCAGCTGAGACTTTTATTCTTCTGAAGTTGTTTCCTCTTCACTCCTATCTTTGTGTCTGCCTGACAGCAGGTCAAAGGTCAGAGGCCAGGACTCAGTTAAAGCAAAAGTACAAACTGGAGGGTGAGTTTGAAATTTCAAACCAAGATGAAAATATTTTTATATCCAAAACATAAACAATAAATCATAGTAAGTAAAATATAATACAGTAAATGTAAAGTACATGATTATGATACAAACAATACCACATGTGATTTCTCTGCAGACACCATGAGTGTCGTTTAAAACTGCTCCTTAAAAACTGCTCCTCATGTTCATGTTGGAACGTCTTTGTTTGGTCCCTGATCAGATTAAATGTGTTTCAGCTCAATGTTGTTTCCAGACTCACACATGAGCTCAGTCAGTTCAAGTCTCTGTTTCACCAGCAGGGAAACTCCTCTGAGACCTGGAGACAAAATGTTTCTGTAACTCTTCCAGGTTTGGCCGAACGCTGGGCTTCCTGGAGGTCAGCTGGAGGTCAGCTGGAGGTCAGTTGGAGGTCAGCTGGAGGTCAGTTGGTGGCGCTCTGTGGACTCGAGGACCCTGCAACCACAAAACAACACAACACAAGTAAAACTAGAGTAACACATCCATCAGCAGGAACAATATGATTCACTGATGTGTTGGTGCCAGTGTCAGAACACAAGTCAAAGCAGAAACACCACACGTGTTTGATACACACAATGTTTCGTAAGGACCTCAGTTTGTCCACCAGGTGTCACTAACGAGTTCTAACTCCTGTCTCACTCCCTCCGTCCTGTTCAGCAGTGTTTATATTAAATCTGTTAAACACAATGTTGTGTTGCTGCCAAGTTTGTTGTTAATATGAAAATTCTCTTGTTTTAATAAAAACATTTTCAGCTAATCAAGATATTTTCACACTATTTAAACACATTTTATAAATACAAATAAAAGTCCTCTTCATTTTTCCCATGGAAAATGAACATGAGTCTCAGTAGGAAACTGTCCTGGTTCATTTATCAGAACAAAAGATGAACAGGGTTAGAAAATATATAAATAAAAACTTTGGTGGGAAGCTGTGTCTCCCAGAATGCATCTCTGCAAGAAACATCAATCACCCTCATGGCTGAAGCTAAAGATTACACTGCTGAGAAAACTGAAAACTATTAATTCAGAAATTTTTATTTAAATCCAAACACTGTGTGTGTGTGTGTGTGTGTGTGTGTGTGTTTATGTGTGTGTGTGTGTGTGTGTGTGTGTGTGTGTATGTGTGTGTGTGTGTGTGTGTGTGTGTGTGTGTATGTGTGTGTGTGTGTGTGTGTGTGTGTGTGTGTATGTGTGTGTGTGTGTGTGTGTGTGTGTGTGTGTATGTGTGTGTGTGTGTGTGTGTGTGTGTGTGTGTATGTGTGTGTGTGTGTGTGTGTGTGTGTGTGTGTATGTGTGTGTGTGTGTGTGTGTGTGTGTGTGTGTATGTGTGTGTGTGTGTGTGTGTGTGTGTGTGTGTAAGTGTGTGTGTGTTACCAGTGTGCAGCTCCGCCGTCCTGATCCGGCTTTCCTCCAGAGTTACAAAAGAGTCGCTCTTCTCCCCAGTTGCAACTTCACAGGTCAGCACCGCAATGGGACCCCCCCCCCCCTTCATATGGACCCGGATGCTGTCCTGTGCACGCGCACACACACGCACACACACGCACACACACACACACACACACACACACACACACACAGTCAGTAAGCTGATCCTGCTTTTACTGCGTCACTGCAGATCATCCACTCGGATAACAGACCAGATCTACCCTGGTCCTGGTCTCTGGTTCTGGATCTGGTTCTGGTTCTGTACCTGTTTGGGTGCAAGAATCTCCAGCTTAGTTTCCTCTGGAGCTTTGACCACGATCACCGTCTGCTCCTGGAAGGCTGCGAGGCGGCTGACGTCCTGGTGGGTCACGTAGGCCATCGTACAGGAGACGTTAACGAAAACTTCACATTTACAACTGATTGATTCACTCCCTAATTAAAAAAACAACTCCTGGTTTACAACACACTGCTGTTGGAACTATTTTTTTCAACTGTCCCACAACTGAGGTGCACCAACCAGCTCTGGGCTTCAGAGCATCAGGTTCTAGTAGCAGATCTAGGATCAGCCACAGGATGGATTAATGCTGCTGTGGAAGGATATTCAGAGTTCTCCTCGTCTTGGGTCAGCTCCAACAGCTGCAGGGCGCAGCTCCTGATCAGGGCGTCCAGCGTGTCCTCCACCAGCTTCATGTTCTCCACCTCCCTCCGCAGGTTCTCCTGGTTCTTCCACAGGAAGCTGCTGATCGGACAACTTCCTCTGAGACGACGGAGAGAGAGCAGGGTCACGGTTCAACGCTCACAGACAACAAGGAGAAAGTTAGCTCAGTTTTTTACCTTGAAAACTAACTTTCTAACTTTCAACTTGAGGACATCAGTAATGTAACTCCGTTCACTGGTGAGGTTCTTAGCCGTGTACGTTACAGTGTATTTTGTATTGTAAGCAGACTTTCATAGAAATAAACTGAAACCAATGGAAGATGAGAAATAAAATGAATCACTGGTGGTTGAACTTGGAAAACAAAGAATGTGAAAGAGCCTGACAGTTACATCGGTGTGGCAGATATTGATCATTTTAGCTTATTACAGGTCCTGTATATTATGTGTGTGTATATATATATATATATATATTATTATTATATCATTGTCGTTTTTATGAATCATTGACGACTAATGGTACAGGATAATATACGTGTTCATGTTAAAAACAAATAATGTTGTAAATAATAATAAGTGTTTTTATCTGATTATTTTTTTATTCACAAATATCTACCAGCTTCAAATCCTCAGCATGAGTCAGAATCTGAGGTAAAACGTCATTTGCAGTTGAACTGGTTTTAACGTCAGACATTAGGGACTAAGACCCAACTAAAGAAATTCATAAAATATTCAAGTGAACAATAAAACAAATAGAAGACTTTCATCTTCTATTGACTCACATCCACTTGACCCTGCTGGGCCCCGGCTTCTTGATGACGTTGATGCCGCACAGGATGTTGGTGATGTCGTAGACTCGCTGCCTGCAGATATTCAGCTTGGTCATCACCTGCCGGAGGTCCAGCAGGCCGTCCGGCGCCGCCAGCAGCAGCTCCAGGAAGTGCTGCGTCAGGATCCCCAGGGACCAGTCTGATAAAGACATAAAGACACTCAGTTACAGATGGAAGACAGGACGCCTCTGTCTTGTTGTTTTTATCTGTGCGTTTTTATAAACAGGAACAAAACAACCAAACACTTCAAAACACTCCAACTTTACAACCATGTTGAACTCTTCTTATATTTATAGTCAGATAAATTACAGATCGTCTCTACACACAGATGTTTTCCTAGATTAATCCTTTCACTACATAACATCAGAAAGCTGTTAGAAATGCTCAACATGACGTTAAACGTCCAAAATCCAAGAAAATCAATTTCCTACATCGTTAAAACAAGAAAAAGCAGCAGTTTTATTAAATAAATTAAATTAAATGTTTGATTTTATACTGAAAGATTTCTTCAATGATTCATCAGTTGCTTGCATTTTTTCTACAACAGCCAGTCAGTGTGTTTATATTGTATAATGACAGCTGTATAGTAGTTACAGGAAACGCTGCTTCATGTAATCCAACATCACTGTTTGTAATTTTATCTCAGTCGTATCAGCCTCAGTTTGAGAATCCTGCCGTCGAGGTTTCAGAGCCAGACCCTGGTAAAAGTTGTTACAGTGAACGCAGCACGCACCCTGTTTGGCCCTCCTGGTCTGGACCGTCTTTTTCCTCTGATGCAGACTCTTACTGTAAAGAAAGACACAAGAAAATAAACTTTAACTTCAATATCTTCTTCCTGTCAAACATGTAAATACACTACACGCCACAGGACTTGCTCCCAAATGGGAATTACTGCAGGAAAATAGATGAATAAAACCAAGAGAAATGTAATTGAACCAATAAAGACTGGGTGCTGGGATTAAAGCCAACACTCGAGAAGGAAACGAGAAACAGATCTTTTTTTACCTTGTCGTCTTAGACCCTGGAGTTTTCTGGGCCCCTGAGTCCTGGAGTCAGAAAGAGGAAACTGTAAGTTAAAGCTGCTCTGGAAGAAAAAAGAAGTTTGGCATTTTGGCTTGATTGATTCATCAATTAAAATAGCTGATGATTAATTGTTTGTCAATCGACTCTCATGTCTACAGCCTAAAAAATATATTTTTTGTAACATTTGAACATCAACTTTTGGAGTTGCTGAAGTTTATTGGTTTTGGATATTTTGATAAATCAACAGCGAATGACATTTTATTTTAATTTTACTGTTTGCAACACAGAATAATCTCTATAGATTCTCTCTTTGGTCTCTTTCTTTATCCCGTGTTACAGCTGAATCAGAAAACATGGCCACAACAATCCACCAACGTTAAGTTTTCTTGTAGCCTTTATCTGAAACACTTTGTCAGCTCAGTGTGACCTGGTGCGATGTTATGGAGTCATGGAAATGTAGAAATATAAACAGGAATAAATAAGTAAATAAAAAATGTGGATATGTAAAGAAACGTATATATGTATGTTGCCATTAAAGTAATAGGGGAATAGTAAAAACAATAAGGGAAATGTGCTTTTTATTTTTTATTTGTCTTTATATTTCCATTTTTTTATTTCTTATTTATTCATTTATGTATTTCTGCTTTTATTTCCATGTTTATTTTCTTATTCTTTTATAGATTTATTCTTTTTTAGCACCTCTATGACTCCATACATAGTAACACTGTGTGGAATTAATTTTGTCCATTTATAAAAACAGCAAACCGAGGTTTTCATCAGTCCAAACCATGACAGAGAAAGACAAAGAAATGTGATTTGAATCTGAATTCACATCTTCAGTTTTGCTGTTTCTTAATCTGTGGACAAAAATAATCCCAGTCATGACCTCAGTATCAGCAGACTGTCAACACGAAGTGACTCGTATCTGTATCTGACCTGCTGTAGTGGATCCACTGCAGGAGGCTTCACAGCAAGGAGCTCATCGTCTCCACCTTCATCATCATCGCCATCACCGCCGCGGTCGGCCCACTGATCCTCTTCCTCAGACAACTCGGCCCCCCAGAGGCTGATGGTGCCCAGGTGCCCGTCTAGGCACGGGGGCATGAGGGGAATGGCATCTGTGCTGACCCCACTGGACGAGATGTCTTCAGGCAGGAAGTGGTCCTCACAGATCAGATGCTGCTCTGTCGGGTCCTGCTTGTTCGTCTCCCTCAGCGCTGCCAGCCACACCTGGATGGAATCACAGGTGTTACTGATGATCTGTTGAGTTCTTTTACACTGAATTTTAATGGATCTTCGTCGGTCTGACAAGCCACACAGCAGGTGTGAAATCACACCTGATGTCACAGACTATTTTTCTACCATCTCCTGAATTTTGAGCCATACCTCAAATTTGCATCAATTGTTTTCCCACCGGTTTTTAAACTAAAAAGGAGGCGGGGGGGGGGACCTGAAGTGAAGATACTGTGTGAGCTGAGAGGGACAGGTGTCTGCCAAAATCGGACTCATAGCTCTATCAAATCTGAACACAGGCGTGATGCAGATATTTTTAGATTCAGCGTGATTTGCACTTTCTAAGGATAATATTATCTCCGATGTCAATCACGGGTTAACGTCCATAAACCCGCTTAGAAACCCACGCTCCTTGTCACTCCACAACTCGCCCGAGAATCGACATCACATTTTTAAGTTTACTTCAATATCAAACTTATTTATTTGTTTATCTAAGTTGTCTGTACATTTAACGGTATATAGAAAACAGGAGCTGCCAATAACAAACTCAACTCTTTTTCATTTTCAAAAATGTGGTAAAATATCGGCTAAACCAGGAGCTCAAGTTGCAGCCCGCATCGTCACTGAGATGTTCGTGTAAGTGAAGACTTTTAACATTTAATGTTTGATTTTTGACAAATAAACGGCTACTTTTACAACGACTGGGCGGTTAGCACCGATGTATTTGGCTAAGAGCTAACAAACATGTCAGTAACAGGAAGTGCAAGGGACCTTTAAACGGGCACCTACTTTCACCCGAGCCGGGTCTTTGGGGAAGCTGAAGAACCTCTTCGGGGGTCGGTTGAGGACTCCCCGGTTAACGTCCACCTTCCGGTTCGGACACCCGGAGACGACGCACTTTACCATCCTTCACCGCCGCTCCTCCGCCCACACAGGACCGGCCAGCGGCTAACGGCACATCCGAGCCCCGTTTCTAACCGTGAAGATTCAGAAAACAAACCTCCCGGTTTGTTTGTGTCGCGTGCCGCGGTTGCTTCCCAGACCGGAAGAGGTGTGTTTTTCACCCGGAAGTACAACATCGGAGGGAACTGCGCCCTCTACCGTTTTCATTACGATTTAAAGATGTTCTTAAATCTGATTTACTTCAACTCCTTACAAAGGAAAACGTTTTTAATTTTAATTTTTTTTTTTAAATATAGCCTTTTTATCTTCACCTGTGAATACATGATGACATAAAACTAAAAGAAATAGAAAAATATTACTTTTAAACACTGTTAGTAAAATTATTTTGGTCCTCAATTCTGATTGGAAACACTCTTTACTGTATCCATTATAAATACTTCATCAATAATAAGGTTAAACAAGTATCTTTTAAGGGTTAAATCACATCTTTCATTGCTTTTACAATTTTGGATAAACAGAGTTTATCTAACGTGCAGACTGATGTACACTGTAAAAAAAATCCTAATTTCACAGTAAAAGTTTTCTAACAGTAATTTTCAGTTTTTTTAAAATTGTGTACAAAAGTCTGTAAAATTATTTACCCATTTCTGTAAAGACAAATTACTGTATTATTTATACTATATTTTTTCTGCTATCTTAAATTACATACAAATCTATGTAAAATGACAGTAATTATCTGTAATTAAAAATATAGCTTGTTATTATAAAGGTTAATGTCCATACTAACAATTTAAAGATCTTCTCTGTAATTTCAGGGTAAATCTTATTAGTTTTACATTTATGTGACTTCTACAGTCAAACTTTGTAATTCTGGATGAAATGTAGCAAACTCCTGGATACGCGCTACGAAGTCGCTGCTAACACAGTTAGCATTCATAATTCGAGGTAAACTTTATAGCTTAGTGTTAAAATAATCTTAGTAGCTAGTTGCATACATGTCCACATTTGGTAAATATCACGTATATGAGGAGAAAGCTTGTAATATTAGCTGAAGTTACTGTGTGTAAGCTAACTGTGTGGTGTAACCGCTTGTATTAAAACCACAGACCGAGGGAAAACATGTTATAACGTGTTTTACAATGAGTTCTGCAAAGCGAAGGTGACGTCACCGACCTTAGTGTTAACAGAGACAGCGGGTTGTCAATGTCGGTAAGTCACGGTCACTAAACGATCCCGTTATTACAGTGAACTGTCGTGTCTGGACGTGCTGTTAAAGAGCAGAGCAGCGGACGTGTGTGTCGTGTTTGTTCATATTAAGTTTGGTTCAGTGTTAGTCGGATAGTTTTCAGCTCTAGTTCATTTCATTATTGATGACAGGAGTCAAAACATCTGTTGGAATGATTCTGTCTCTGTCAGAATAAAGAACATCACTGAGAGCTGAGAACCATCATGACATGTGCACCTGCACAATGACGCCAAACTGAGTATTAGTTTCTATTCTATTGTTATTTCATGTAAAACGGTTCAGCAGACTGTTTATTACAACTGAGCTGAGGGAATAATGTCTTTTCAGATATCTGTGATCATCTAATCAGAGTGCTGTTTCTGTTGTCTTTTTCTCTGTACTCTACAATATGATATTGATATGATTTCTCTCCATTATGTTTTTCTTCTATCCAGGAGAGGTCTGGATCTTTGGGGACACCTACAACCTCTTGCAGCAATGATGGAGGCCCTGCACCACCTCCACCTGCAGTGTCCACACATGAAGATCTTCTCTTCCCAAACATATACACAGTGTCTTATATGATGATATAGTATTTTTTAATGTAACACTTTGTGGCCATAACATTGTTCAGGTTCATGTTTCTTACATAATTCAGCTGCTGATCATTCTTGGTAAATTTCACATCCACAAATCTACAGGCTCCAAACTGTCATCACTTTATTGTTGAACTCAAGCTGTAGCTTTGGCACCTTGATTAAAAATGTGACAAACAAATGGCCTCAACAGATTCCCCACCTTTGAACAAGGTTTGCAGATAGTTTTATGACTGTTGTTGTACCTCTTTTTACTTAGGTGTTTAATTGGTCTTTATACTTATACTCCACTACGTTTAAGAGGGAAGTGTAGATTTTTACTTACATATATATTTACCAATTATTCTACACATTAAGATTTTCTTCAAATTGTATTATATACATATTTATATATACATGTATCTATAATATGATTTTACTTTTTTCACTTTTTTACCTTGTTTTAGTTCAAATCTGACAACCATTTATTGTCTTCTTCTATTAACAATCAAAACCAAATATAAGATATAATAAGAAAACAAAAATGCTGTATTATTAGAACATGCAAATACACTGATATGACCCCTAAAATAAAATGTGTTCCCTACTTATACTTAACATTCTTAATCACAAGCTTTCAAAACAAGAAAAGGTCGTAATCAGTGTTGCAACACAAGATTTATTCAGAGCAAGAGATGCCAACACCAGCATGATAAAAACCGTACGAACTTCACAAGTCAAATTAAAATATCACGTAGCAACTCGTGACCTTAAACATACAGCAAAAATATCAACAAAACCCATGCCTTGTGGTAAGAAAACTGTTGCTGAAAGTTTGCGAGTAACAGAGAAAAAGGGGTAAAAAGAAAGAAAATGAATGTCGTATAAAAACCCCTTATCAATGCACTGCCGAAAAGAAACTGTAACATTTTCATAAACTGATGATTTCACAAATATTCATATGGATTTCTTTTGCATTCTAGCATGTTACATGTTAGTGTTGAAATTCTCTATGTAAATAGTTACAGTTTAGCTTTTACATCTGATATTACAATATCTAGTCTATTGACTGTCTTTAAGTGGCAGAATTGTGCTTTAACTCCCATTTCCTTTGTTATCAGTAAGGATAATCGACTAAATGAAAAATACAAGCGCTCACTTTATCTAATGCTGTAGTTTACTGGCAGGAAGCTGCAGACACAAAGCTTTGGACAGAAATGTGAATGAGGCTCCGCAGTAAAAGTCCAAAGAAGAAACATCTTTAAAGAAAAACTCCCCCTGTTAGCTGTTTGGTGTTCTGGTTCCACTTCCTGTGGAAAGGTTTAGAGGTCAGTTCCTCAGCATCACTAATAAACTGGTTCTGATGTGGTTCAGGTTATAACTGGAGAGTTCTTGGATTATCCCCGTTAATGTCTGATCTTTTCCACCGTACTGACTGGATCTGCTTGTTCCAATACTTCACTGATGCAACATGATGCTGAGATTGAGTGAAATCAGGCTGTTTAGGTATCTTGGACATTTTATACACATTTACCAAAAATCTTGCTGATATATTTGGTATATTTGGAAAGTTCATGATCCCTACTGCAGGTCACCTGGTGAGGTACCTGTTTGGAACGATGGATGACTCTAAATACAACGATGCACTGCCATAGTTGCACTGCCTAATCGATCCAAAATAGACCCAGAATCTGAAAGCCGATCCATTAAAACTGCAGTTTAAAAAAAAACAAAAAAAAAACGTAATCTTCCTCCACTCTTCATAGAACTGCAAGTACAAGAATTTTAAGGTCAGTAATTGGGTGCATCCTCCTGAATTGAAGCTTGGGAGCTGTACTTAAGTTCTTATTATGTCCACAGTCTTGTACCTTTGACTTTCTATTGAAGGACCAAGTATTTTCTAACAGCGGTGTTAATCTTTTGTACTGATAATTCAATCAGGAGGGTTTAATCTCCATCAAAGACGTGAAGCGCTCCAGCTGTCCGTCACCAAACACTGTCTATGCAGAAAATGAAAGGAAAATTTGACTTGAACAGAACTCTGGAAGCCCTGAAATTCTTCTTCCCACTTACTTCACCACTCTATTGACGGTTTATATAAAGTTGTCTCTCACTTCTGGAACAAAAATTTATATAAAGGGAAATAGATAAATTCTCCATTTTTATATTGTAAATGGACAGAAAGTTAGTGTTTCTGATACTTTAGAAGAAACTCTGAAAGGTTTCACTTCTGCTAAATGTTGCAAGCATGAGGTTCAGCGTTTTGTTTTTAATGGAGGAGCAGGGATGTCACAGGAAAAGTAATAAAGCATTCCCTTAATCAAAAATAGGAATTGTAAAAAATAATTTACAAATGAACTGATGGAAATTAATCCACCAATAAATACTTAAGATAAACAATCCCAATTGGCCATGGGATGTAACAAGCTGTCTGATTGGTTGGAGAGCTAGCGGTCAGTTTTTATCAGCTGCTGAAGCTAAATGACTAAGCTAATCAATTAGCTAATAGGAAAAGGAAAACCATTTATGTATTCCCATTTTTAAAATGCCTTTTCAAATACTTTTTCAAATTCTATTATTTATTCGTGAATTAACAAATGTATTTATAAATGGTTTATTTGAATATTTTATGCTGTTTTTGTAAATCAATTTTTAAATCTTCAGTATTTATGATGGATTAATCATTCATTTATAATTTTTTTTTTTTACAATTCTTATTTTTAATGCCTATCAAAATATGAAATTAAGGAAATGCTGTATTACTTTTCCTGTGACGTCCCTGCTCCTCCATAGTTTTTGGTATATCTTTTAAAAGAGCTTTGATGTTAGAAGAAAATACACTGGTGAGTTGGAGGTTTACAAAGTCCTGGAGCCAGAGGGGGAGTTTTCCTTTAAGCAACAAATCAGCTCAGTGAAATTTGCTCCAGGTTGCTGTCGAACAGGAATCACCAGCACAAAGTCTTGTCGAAGTCACAGTTTCCACAAACTCGCTGTACAGTTTTTGCTTCATTTACCACGTGATAATACTTTGACATACTCCAATAAAGTGCATGCATGATCGACGGTGTTCAGAAAACATATCCATCAGTACTGTGATTTCAGACTGAAAGTCATCGTAAGGCCGATTCTGATCAAATACTCAGTCGGTAAATCAGTGCACAGACATAGCGTTACGACTGCTGGCTCTAGTTTTCATTCATCTTTTCAATAAAAAATCAAAGATAATTAAAAAGGAAAAAAAGAAAAGAAAAAAAGCACTGCTTGGTCATCATGTCGTCCGGCATCATGTCCCATTGTGGCTCAGACAATAAGATGCATGATTGGAGAGACGTTCTCTACAGGATGAGTACAATATACAATGACGGATGGGGACGTTTGACCCTGTAAGTCCAGCGGAGCCATCAGCCTTTAGAAAGAAAAATCATATCTACAAATCCTCTCGCCTGCCGACAATAAAAACATCAAAACATGGAAACAAAGGTGTCCCTGTGCAAAGTCGAACATGACAGAACCAAAGTCCTTTCACCCGCGTCAGATTCCTACAACATGATTGTAGTAAAAGGTTTATACAAAACGCAATACATTTATAGTTAGTAAAAAGATCTATCAGCTCTTTGCTAGTTTTATTTATAAGAAATTGCATATACCCAAACATTTTTTCATATAGATTGCATCCCATATCTAAACAAACGATTTAGTATTATCATACCAATATTGCTGACACGTTGTCCTATTAAGCTAGTCAAGGGTGATGACTAAAATAAATTCAGAATGGCAGATTGTCTCCTACATTTTTCCGTAGCCATCGTTTTTTTCCCGCTTCCTTCTTCGCATGAACAAAGAAAAGCGACAGAAGAGGACAGTTTGAAACGAAACAACTCCGAAGGGGATGATGGGATTTTGCACCAGTAAGTTTCCGTGTCATGATGTTTGAAATCTTCTTTTTTTTTGCGTACAGCATTGGTTCTCCTCGTAATCTCAGCTAAAGATTTACAGTAACATTAGTGTCCACTTTCAAACATTACAAAAATCAATGGATTTAAACGACCTCCAGCTTCACAGCTCGTGAGAAAAGCCTCTCGGAAATGATTGCTCTTCACGTTCTCCCGCCTCGCCGCGCTGCTCCCTGTTAAACCCGTGACGCCCAAGTTTTTCGATGTAATGTAAATCGCATCAAAATAAGAAATGATTCAAGCTTACAATAAATAAATACATACATATACACTAGAATGTGCATACATTAGCAGCTATAAACAGTACATCACATTATATTAGGTCATATGAAAATGTACAAAACGTGAATGTTCGTTTAAAACGTAATCGTTTCTCAAAGCAAGGCAACAACAATCAAAATAATAAAAAAAGAGATACCCATGGAGTTGAGAGCATAACAGCAGAAGAAATAAAACAACTGTGGTAGATTACAGCAGCAAAAAACAACCCATCCCCCTCTTTTTGACTTTTTTTTTCTGTTGTTTTTGCTTTGCATTTGTTATTTTGGCCTCAGTCGGGGCTACACCTGGATGCCCTGAACGGCCTGTTTGATGTTCTCCAGCAACGCCTTGTTCTCCGGGCTCTGGTACTGGTCCTGGTGGGTGTACATGTCTGTCAGTGTACTCACGTAAGTGTCAAAGTTCTGTTCATTCATTGGCTCCTGCGATGGGGGGAAAGAAAGCCAATGAGGAAACAGTCGGGTTAGAGGAGGTGCATGTGGGTAAATTCTCTGTCAAACATTGTGGGGGTAAAAGGTTTGGAGGACAGGCGGGCAGCGGGGGAGGAGGGGAACACCATCAGGAAGGAAAGCATGACTCGGTTACACAAACTCACTGAAATACTCCTCTTTCAATATCATATCCAGCATCTACACTTCAGCCTGAGACGGTCTACGCAATGCAACTCCAAACTACATGCAAAAAACCAGGAGAGGGATGGTTAGCTGATGGGTCGATGGAGGGTTAATGTTGAACACATGGAGACAAAATCAAGACAGCTCATGTGCAGATGAAAGAGACACGACTGGTAGTTCAGCCTCAAAGCCTGCTGGGAGTTCTGCTGGTGACGGAGCAGTTCTGGTTCAGAAATGTTGGTTGAGTTTTTAACTTCAGCGGGTGAAGCGAACAAGCACCTGTGTTTTTAAAGCAGCTGGTTTTTACATGGCGTACCTGAAGGCTCCAGCTCCGTTTCCTCAGCCTGGTATCTCTATGAATCACATCTGCACTGGACACTTCCTCACTTGGCTTTTATGTCCAGTGCCAACATTAATGCCAGTGCAGGAGGTGCGTCTTATATGTAGCGAGGAGGAAAGAAAGATGGAGGACGGGCATGAAGCACCTCCAACTTTTTTGAAATCAGTTTTAGATTTTGGTGTCGTCTTGTACAGGCTTCAGCTGCAACTCTAAAACCTTGACGCTGTCGAACACTTGACCGTCATATCTCTCATCCCTGTCAGTCTGGACCACTGGACCACATTAGACCAGGACTACGGACCGGCTCCAGGTCATGCTCAGCTTGAAGATCTGCTTTTGGCTTCATGGCACCTGAGCTCACCACCAAACACTTTGAAAATGAATTTGTTGGTTTCTCTTTGTCATTTTAGATTCTTAATCTCTGACTTTTTAATTTCTGTTTGTACCTGTTTTAATTGATTCTTGTCATTATATTATTTATTGATTGAATTTATATGTTTGTTTTAATTGACGTTCTTTTTTAACTGGTATTTTCATGAGTTTAAATAAAGAGATCAGATTTTGTGCCCCTCACTACGATCTTTAATCCTAACATAAGTTATACTTTCCTTCTCATGTGCAGAGATTGTAGACAGCAAGAAATGTTTTACAAATGTGAGCATTGCACACAAGCGTGAATGTAATCCGGGGGTTCTGCAGAATCGTTGAATACGAGCTCTGGAGGTAGAACTCGCAGTGATAGACGGGATTACAGGGAACATTTCACTTTTATCTTACCACAGTCCCTTTCCTTCACACCATCAGTTCTCTCTGCACACACTCATCTACAGTACATACTCTATATATATGATTTATATTTTACTTTACTCTTACGTTACTAATCTCAGTGTTTCTGGATTACAGTTAAATACTCAAACTGTGTGACTCTCAGCTGTCACTCACTCCTACTGCAGTCACTGGGCTGCGATTTAACTCAACCAATCAGATTCTTCCTGATTCCAGAGCAGCTCCGCCTCCAGGTTTTAGGGATCTTGACCTCATGTTTTCCTCTTACTGTTGCTTCATCATGTGAATTTCAGTTGTATCATTGAGCCTCGTTAGCGACCAGTTATCACGTGTGTTGTCCAGCGAGTATTTACGCAGGTAGACGTAACAAACCGGAGGTCAGTTCCCGACACACGTGACGAATGTTTTTGTCATTAATGGGAAAAGTGCTAAAACACAGCTGATGGTATTTGTCTGGAACTGTCCACCGGTGAGTTAGTGACTGTCACAATGACTGACTTACACTCTCTTATTCTGCAGAATAAAGTGATAGTTGTGATGTGCGGACGCCATAGTGGGTTTAGGGAGTTACAGGAGGGGGTGGGGAGAGGTGGGGGGATGACAGTGCAGAAGAGAAGGATAATTGGATAAAGGATAAATGGATCTCTTACTCTGGGAGGCATCTGTAAACAGCAGTTATGCTTTACTGGGGCCTCTTTCTGTGGCAGCGGTCTCTACAGGAGAGGGTGTACAGAGAAGCGTATTAGCCCGCTAGACACACGGCGGCGCTCACAAGGCTTCATGAACGACACACAACGTCCGCCTTAAAAAGCTGTTCTCCCTCCAGCTCTGTTTACACTGCAGCTCAACTTACTTCACTCACACAGATCTGATCAGACAGAAAATACAAACTGAAATTTGGCTCGTTATCACGTCTGAAATAAAAACGAGGCGCTGGAGAGGGTGAGATGACGACGTGACGCCTTTAATTAAGCTAAAAAAAACCCATCTGATTCGATTTCTGATTTGGATCCTGCAGCGTAAACAGAGCCTTAAATCCAGTTTTGTATTTTTCTGGAAACAGGAAATGGCAAGCTCTTCCCGTTCTACAATTTAGAGAGTGAAAATTTCGACTCTGCCCGACACAAATCATCTAATCGATTATCTGAAAACAAGCTGGAACTATATTTAAAAGAAGATTAGAGTGAGTGAATGTGAGCAGGATGTGGAGCTCGTTTCAGGAGGGATAAAGATCAAATTCCTTGTTAAGGCGGACATTTTTCTTCCAGTGTGATATGAAGCGGTCCCGCTCAGGAATAGAGGGAGCACAGGAAGCAGAGAGTCCAGTTATCAAGCTACTCTGTTCATACTGCGTTAGGAGAGATTATCCAATTAGCCCCAGTCTTCTTTCTACACTGAGACAACATGACGTCAACACAGCCATGAGCACTTCACTCAAACGGAAAAAAAAACTACAACAAAAAAAAAAAAAAACGACGGGGGCCGTTTCTTTATGTGAAACTCTGTGAGGCGTTGTAAAGCACAGAAGAAGAAGCACAGCATGGACTGCTGGGAAAAAAAGGAGGTGGCAAACAGAAAGAAGCAGATGAAGAAAAAACCTGAGTGTCGCTACAGAAAAAAGGCTGGAGACGACTTTAAACACCTCCCTGGATTAAAATGAGTGAGCAGATGTTAGCTGGTCTCAGATCAGTTCAAATGGTTCATGTCCCACAAAAACATTTCAATGTTTGAAACGAAGCAGGAAACAAATAAAACAATTTCAAGCTGATTATTCTGCAAAAGAGATCAGTCTGAAATATTTGTGTCTATTATTTAGTCATAAAAAATGTGCAAAATAATCTGGACAGTCATGTTTCCAGATGTGACAATAATCTATTGACAAATCTAAAAACAAGTTTATTAGAATGGAAATGAATCTGACTTCACTGCTTCAACTTTTCCACTTGTTTTCCTTTTTAAATAATTAATTTAAAAGAAATCAATAAAAGGTAAAATGACAAAATGACATTGCAGACAAATATTCATCCAGTTCTTTCAGTTCAGTTAAATATTTCTAACAAAAACTGGTGAATTGAATGAAAGAATCTCTTGTATTTATTAAATGTTTAGTGGAGGAAGGAAGCTGCTACCTGACAGGTGTAAATCAACCAGCTACTGACTATAACAAGAATGATCACTGAGCCTTTATTGTGTAGGAAGTTATATACCAATTACCTACCAAAATAAAATTTGATGCACCAGTCTGACATTTCATTTCCTGGTTTTTATAAGTATTTCTTCAAAGTATTAATCTTAACATAAAACATTCATATAACTGATCATTTCCTGTAAAGCTTCTGCTTGAATCCTGAAACTGTAAAAACATCGGTCGTGACAAACCGTCGGCCTCTGAGTGTTTGTGTCTCTGAAGCTGCAGCTGAATCCTCTCTTACCATGTGCGGCAGCTGGATGTTGGCGAGGCTGTTGATGAGCGACTGGCTGAGGTTGGCCAGCTCGTGCAGCAGCGAGTCGTTCTGCTGCTCGATCACCTTGTTCTCCTCCTCGATGGACTTCAGGTTGGTCTCCATGGTGGTGATCTGCAGACAGGGAAACCAACCCTCAGCAGGTTAAAGCAAAGATTTTATCACATGGCTGTCTAATAGAATAATAGTAAAATATCTGATTAACTTTCTTGACTCGTTTTTTTGTAATTAATTGAACCATAAACTTCTTGTAAATTCTCAAATAAAAGCTGCAACTCAAGTAACAGCCGAGTCTGAAATAACCTGAACAGTCTGTACAACAATCTGCCGCTCTGAGTTTCTCTTACTGACCCTTTACAATAATTTCTACTGGAACCTAGCACTTCCTGCAGATGTTTCAAATTAAAAGCCTACTCAGAAAGGGAGAGATTTTACCTTTAAAGACTCCCTCCTCCAATGAAAACCCAGTGTTTGACCTTGTTAACGTCCACATGATGTTTTTATATAACACAGACACATGATGATGAAATAACCATCAACTCCATGACTGAGTGTTTCCACCTTGACCTGCAGTGAACCAATCACAGTCTCATAAGCACAGATTCAGGGTTTCATATGTCACACACCTCAGGAACCAATCCTGTCAGCTGGTGGGGACGGGGGGCGGGGCTAAATACACCTGAAACCTTGTCAGTACAGAGAGAGAGTTAGCATTAGCACAACCGCTAACACTGTGTCAGCCACTACCAGTTGCAAGCTAACAAACAACATAAACAAATAAAAGATGCTAACTACGCTAACCGCTCTGACCCGTCTGCTAGTCTCTGGTTCTGGTCTCAGACTCCTCCTCTGAGTCTGGGTCTGACTGAGTCTCTCTGATGTTTCCTCCTCTCACCATCTTGATGCTCTCTGCTTTGTCACCTGTCCACCTGGAGCCAGCAGGTGGTGGGCGGGGCTCAAGGCCTGACCCAGGTTTATCAATCAGGAAGTAAGAGGAGATGAGCTTCAGACCCAGTTTATTTTTCACTTTTTTATGTGGGGAAAACCATGTTAAACAAAATATGAGTCATCAGCAGAGGGTTAGACAGTGGGGAACATTAACTCTACTGGAAGGCTTTTAATGTGAAGCATCTGTGAAGGAAGTGTGATCTTGATCTACAACAAAACAGCAAAGTAAAACAGCCTTTCTGTGGGGAAACATACATTATACTGAATTTATCAAGACAACAATGTGATAAAAACATGCTAAAGATACTGACGGCCTGTTTCTAACATGAGACTGTTTGAAATCAAGGCCTAGTTCTGTCTTCAGGTAAATAAACACCTGGATGAAAGTTGATAAATTAAGCATGCTTGCATCCGCAAATAATAAACCTGACAAGTTAATGTCAGTGTTTCTCTCAGGTGTGTCTTCCTCACTTTCCCTGTAGTGAATAAACCTCTTTGTGTCTCTTAATGTTTCTCAGACATGATTTTTAAATGTATCGTATATAAACCTTTAGTCCTGGGATCCATTGGTCAGTGAATGCTTCGTGTTTTGCCTGTTTACCCACCAGAGTCTTCCCACACACGTACCTGTGTCCTCAGTTTTATCATGTCTGACTCCACTTGATTGTTGGACTCGTTCAAATCTTTGATTTCTTCATCCAGCTGTTTGATTTCTTCATCGTTTTCGATGCCTGAAACAAAGAAAAACGTGTTTTACACAAATGTATTTTCTCAAAAGTGAAAAAACAACAATGAAAATTAAGTTTTAGTTTATGATTTAATCTGAAATATGTGAGACAGCGGCACAATGGAGAGTTATCTTAGTGTGCACGTGGTTTTTCCTCTTGTTTGAATGAAAATCAGATTTTTCAGATTCAGTTTCAGGTTCAATCATTTGACTGAATTCAGGGTTTTTCTTCTGTTGTCGTAGCTCTGACCTTTGCTCGCTCTTTGCTTGATTGTCAGCATCTCCACGCCGCTCATCCTGGCCTTCTTCATGGCCGAGGTGGCTCGGGGACAACCGGAGAGACTGGAATAAAACAAACACACACACAGGTGAATTGCTGTCCGTGAAGGACGGTTAATCTGCAGCAAATTTCAAGTGTTATGTGAATCGCAATAAAACCAATGGCTGCCTGCGAGGTGAGAAATAACTTGAGATATGAGCATCTTGATTTGGACAAAGCTGGAGCAGAGATCCCACCTCCGATGTGTCAGGAAGCTCCCGCTGACGTGTCCTGAGCCGTCGCAGCCCGGGGTCGGGCACGTCATGCCGTCCGTCTTCCCAGATTTCCAGACAAACTGCGAGCCGTTGACGTAGCTGTCCTTCTGCCTCTTAGCCGCCAGGGGGCAGCCGGACGCGCTGCGGTGGGAGGCGTACTTCCCCGTCACGTGACCCTGACCATCACAGCCCGGGACCGGACACCTGAGAGGAGGAGCAAACTTTAACTGTCACTCTGTGGAGCTGGAGGTCCTCAGCTCTTTGATCAGCTGGTTGATCAGCTCGTTGTGTCTCAGCAGAATTTACCAATCATGGTTAATCATGGTTATTATTAATCAATAATCTTTGACCCAGTGAACAGGCTCTGTGATGACAGTAGAGCTGTTAGCTGATTCAGCTAAGTACCATCTTATTGCTAACATAGCTGATTAGCGACTAGCTAACAGTTAGCTCCAGTTAACCTGAGACAGATTTTTAACGACTGACACACTGAGCTTATGTTGCGTTCAATGGGAATGGGAAGAACGAATTCCGACTTGAAATATTAAAGTGTTTTACTGATAACTGCTTACTTATCAGTTTATTATATCTACTTATCATTGGCACAATTTTTGTCGTTCTTTTTAATGACGTTGCTCAGGGAGTTGCTTCGCCGTCTCGTTGTTTTTAACAATGACAAGAAAGAAACTTGACTTGATAAATATTTGTAGCTGTTTGTGAACAAGTGAAGCCAGATACAAACACTGTGGATGGAGCTGTCAGCGGAGGCTTTGAAGCTCTTTCCCCTCCAGTTTCTGTGCTGCTGTAGATGGTTTTGTTGAGGGGGAAAAGAACTTATGAAGTTGAATTTGCTGATACGTCCGACTCAGAATTACAACCAGAGTTTTAACTAACGGAGCAGGAGGAGGGAGATTCTCCGCAGTCTGTGTTTAGTTGATTTTCTTTTGTTTATCCAAATGATCTTATTGCTGTGTTAGATTAAGGAACTCATCCTGGACTTCGCTGCCCTCCCTGGAAGACACCGCCAGCTCCCGCTACCTCAGCAGAGCCACTGACATGATGAAGGACTCCACACGTCCTGCTCAGCACCTGCCTGACCAGGTCCGTCCAAACACACAGCTCCAGACTCAGAGACACTTCCTTCCCCAAAGCCATTAGCACATTAAACTAAGTGATTTATTATTGTGCGATACAATACACTCAACTTCATATTCTAGTTTTATATATATTTCTATATTGTTTATCTTATTTTCATTATTAGAAATGACAGTGACGATAAGGGCTTTCGAATTCTAACTATGTAATGTTCTGTACACGAGGTAGTGGAACCAGTGTCTGTGTGGGAGGAAGTAAATCATCGAAACACTTGTGGATGAAAAACATGATGCTGGTGAAGTAAAACAACAGAAAGCACGAGTAGAGATCTTTAAAAAAGTATCTCAGCTCTGTTCAGGACGTTTCTGATGGAGGGACAGTTCACCTCCTCACCCACCTCCTCCCCCTCCTCCCCTCCGAGGGCTCCAGGCCACGGCAGTGTAACGATGAGCAGGATAAACGCCGCTCGTGCCTCAGCTTCCAGACGCCCGGCTCTGCCGCCTGCATCCCTAAACGCCGTCCGCACTGACATTTGTGCTGATTAGAATGAGGCGAGCGTCGACGGGCCGAGCTCAGGTTAAGCTTAATTATGATTCCACTGTTAATGACGACGGGTGGATGGAACAGAGGTGGCGGCGGCAACAGCTGGCCGCCGGCTGACACCAGCTGAACTTTAGATTATTCACAAGGTCGTATTGGCTCAACATTATGGCTCCACTTAAACGAAAATGTCAAACGCTCACTGGTTCTAACCTTTCCTGGTCACGGCCTGCTGGGAGCCCGAGGTGAAGCGGAGGACTGACCATAACTCCTCCCCAAAATATTCCCTCCTAAAGTTAGAAAGGTCAGTGTACACAGGCCGCATTTTAAGAGAGTAGACGGATGAATGTGTCAAAAATGTCTGATATCAGTTTCATTAACACACTAGATCTGGATTTCTAAAATTAAAACTCTATTACCCACAAAGCTCGGTGGAGTTTTGATAAGATTTATTTTTTCATCTTATCACTGAAACTTTTTGTTGTTGGTCAACTCTGATAATTGATTAATTGTTTTTTTTTTGTCATTTATCAAGCTTAAATACAGTTTCTGGTTCCAGCTTCTCAAACATGAAGATTTGTTGCTGTTGTGACTTTTATATGAACGTAAACTGAATATCAAAACAAGACGTCAGCTTTAAGCTCACAGAAACAAAACATTATAAAAAATAATCTGATGAATCAGTAATGAAAATAATTGTTAGCTGCAGTCCGAACTGACTGAATTAATTCCCTTAAATTAATGATTAGTTTAGTGGTTCCCAACCTGCGGGCTGGGGCCCACTTTTTAAATGTTTTAAAGCAAAAAGATCTTTTAAAGGTTTAAAAACACTTTTCATTGTTTGGTTTTTTTGCATATTGAGGCCGATCACTGTAATAAACCAATGATGGGAGCGTTCAGGTTGTCTCCGGCCGGGCCACAGCGTAATATTGTTTTCTACCTCAGTCTGATTGCACATTAAAAGATCACACCCGTGGTAAGAACTGGAGAATCATAATAAATAGCTGGTTAGCAACAGGAAGAAAAGACAGAAATGGAAATTCCCCTGGTTTTAGTTCGGTCCTGAATGCTCCATCGTTATCATTAGTATAAAAAGTGCTCTGAGACATTATTTGGCGTCAGTATTGTTACAGCGTCGCATGTGGTCCCTCGAAATACTAAAATTTGCCTTAATTAGGGAATTTTCACACTCGGATGAATAGAGTTGTGTTATGATCTTCATTCTGTTTGTCCTTGTCATCCACACACTCACAAAACTGCCCGGGTTTAATTGGTTTGAGATTTTGATCTTGGATTAAGATATTTCAGGTTCTGTCCGTTAAACACAACACTGTGAGAGGATGTGATGGCAGCATGACGCCGTCCTCCAAATGATAGCGGGAGATTCAGTAACTGAAGAGGATGATTTAGTAATAAACAAACACAAACCACTAATGAGAGAAAAAATTGATCAGTGTTTTCAAAGCCTCACAGAAACCTTACTTGATCGGCTCCTGGTCGTCCTTGTCCTCTTTGCTGTGGACGATTTTGATGCCGCTCTTCTTGGCGCGTGGACAACCCGACAAACTGCAGGACAGGGGGACAGATTTAAGAAGGCGTGGACAGTGTGTTTCTGGCGGTTTCATGTGTGACTGCAGACAGTTGTACTGTACCTCCTGTGGGAGGCGTAGTTTCCAGTGATGTGTCCAGATCCGTCACAACCTGGGGTCGGACACCTGAGACACAAACAACCACAACTTTATTATCACATGATGCTACTTTGAACAACAGTAAAGAAGACTGAAGGGACACTGTTCTGTCTTTTTGGTCTCGACCAAGCATCAACCTCCGAGGCTGAAACATGAAGCATCAACATGATGAACCTGAAGCTGCAGTTCCTCTAACGACCACTAGAGTCTGGCTCCAACAGTGAGTCAGTCCCCATAGACTCCCATGTTAAAATGTCCAACTTTACAGCAGAAATAAACATGTTTACAGCCTGGTACAAAAACTGTTTTGGTCTCTAGAGCTAATTTCCTCCTTCATGACACCTGTGTATATAACTCACCTGTTTACATTGTAGTAAGGACTACAGTTATGGATTGAGGGCGTGGCCTCTTTGAGTGACAGGAAGGTGAGAACCTAAATCGCCGTTCCATACAGGCCCCTCCCCCTCGTCCATAATTGGATTAGCTGGGAGTTAGGGGTGGAGTCCGACACTGCCAAGATGGCGACGGTGTAGCAGCTCACTCTGAGCTTCAGAAACCAGCGGTTGATGTTACAGAGGCGACGGCCATCTTTATTTACAGTTGGTGGTTTAAACTCACTTGAGTTCTTGAGAGTTGGTCGTCATCATCCCGCGGATGTTCTTGTCGGCCAGCTGACAGCTCGACAACCTGCAGCAGGTGAAGAGACAAAATACCAGGGTCAGTTTCCTTTGATAAGACCATTAAAGTCCAGTTTTTACTTTGAGTCTGCGACGTGGTGACGTGGGAGTTGATGCTGTGTTGTGAGTGTTGTGTAACAGCGTTGCAGAGTCTTACGTGATGAGCTCCTTCTTGCTCTCCTTGCAGGGCGGGTACTTGTGGTGTTTGGGGCTGGGCATGGTCACCTCGGTCGGGTAGCGCTGCTCGTCCAGCAGCTCCTGGAAGGGATCCAGCTCGTCGCTCTGGTGTAGGGACGAGAAATAAGCCGACTACAGCACGTCACTACAAGCTCCACGTTAACATGATTACACAGAGTACACACAACTTTACATTTCCAAACCTGGTCACTGTCTGAACAGAGAGGCTCCATCTTATCAAGGTGTTTAATTAAAAAATATTGGTGATGGAGAGGTGTCATTTTGTTTGTTAAACGCTGTTAAAGCTCCTCCAGTGTGACGGTCTGTGTCCATGTGTAGTGTGATTATAGATCAGCTCTAGCTTCTATATTAATACTGTGAAAGTATCAAAGCCTCAGTCCACAGAGAAATGCACACAGCCTGTATTCAGAAACTGAGCCTTAAAACCAGCCGTCAGGACTTCTGGAACTTTGTGATGTCACAACAAAGCAGTCACCAAGCCCCGCCCACCTGGACCCACCATCCAAACCTTGCAGGATTTGGTTTCTCTGAGTGTTTTTACCTGAAATCTGCTATATTTTTATTGGATCACTCAGAAAACAGTCAGCCAATCAGAAGAGAGGCTCAGAGCCTCCTCTCTTCTGATTGGCTCACTGACCTGTTGTTACTAGAGCTCCAGAGAGAAGCCTGAGAGAGGAGATGTAAAACTACACTGAGATGGTTTAAATATATGTTCTTAAGGATCAACACTTCAAAATAAAAAACAGAAGAAGAAGAAAATATGGAACTGTCATAAATCAGATTTATTTTTGTTTGCCCCTCTGATTTAATTTACATGTTTAAATCAAGAGTTTAGTTTGCAGGCTTTATAAACTTTACAATTTTAAGTTTTATAGTTTAAATTAACACTTTATTTTACAGGTCTTTTATTTCCTAATTATTTCTTGAGAGTTTCCCAGAAAGAACGAGACTGTGTGCTCATTTTCTCAGTTTAGTTGGCCGTAAGTTAATAATCAGTCAGTATCCAATAATTATTGGAAACTTTATCCTTCATATGTGAAGACGAAAATGTTTGTTTGCTTGTAGAGAATCAATTTTATTCTTGTAGTTTTCACCCTGATAAATACAAGAGCCTCCTCTCTTCTGATTGGCTCACCGACCTGTTGTTACTAGAGCTCCAGAGAGAAGCCTGAGAGAGGAGATGTGAAACTACACTGAGATGGTTTTTATTTCTTCTTGTGGATCAACACTTCAAATAAAACACAGAAGAAGAAGAAAATATGGAGCTTTAAATAAAAATGATGAAGTCTCGTTTCCAGATGAACAGAAACTGACAAACTGATGCAGCATCTATAAAACCAGCAGGAGGTGAGAATCACTCCTCTGTGCCTTTCTTGTTTGATTAGCTCCACACATGCTAACGCCTCAGTGAAATGTACCAGCAGCAGTTCATCAGGTCTAACTCTGTGCAGCCTGCTCTGCAGTCCACACATCACACCTCCTCAGTCGGGAGCAGAAATCGTTCAGGACTGTCTGGAGAAAATCCCATCAGCTGCTCCAGCTCCAGGCTCCAGCCTCCTCTGCAATGTCGTGCTTCATTAACAAACGCAATTACTCTCCTGATTAAAACCTTTCACTTCAGTGCTCTAAATCCGACGCGGCAAATGTAGCAATTTGCTGCATGGATTGCTCTGTGTGATATCAGATCTGTGAGGATTTAAGGCGTGCAGATGATCTACCGTGTTTTACTTATGTATTAGCAGCGTAATTCAGCATTTCAGTGCACGGGCTCCTGAAGCGTTCACTCAGAGAGCTGCTGAGTGCGAGCTGACGCAGTGCTGCCTCCGCTCACATGGGAGCGCAGCGAGCACGCCGGAGAGACGCCTGCATCCGTCATGACAATCAGGGTGATTCATCTGAATTCTAAAAGTTAAACTGACAAGCCTTTCATTTTACTCCTGCTTCTAAACGTCATTTATCAATTTCTTCCTTTTGACCTGAACCTGAGATTAAATCTAAGAGATCCAGATCCACTCTCTTCATCTGGGTCACAGCAGATCCTGGACTGTTCAGTATCACTGGGCATGATGAAGCAGTACATATATATAATTCAGAATGAGGTCGTTTCAACCTACGTTTTGAATTTGATGTGAATATTTAAGAACATGTTACAACCTTTTCTTCTCTTCTTGTATTTTTCAGGGTAAAAACTACAAGAATAAAATTGATTCTGTACAAACATTTTCTACTTCACATATGAAGAATAAAGTTCCCAGTAATTATTGGATATTGCCTGATTATTAACTTACATTTAAATGGAGCAGTACTGCTTCACTCAGCCAACTAAACCAAGAAAATTAATAATCCCAGAGTTTCTGTTTGACCTTTAATTACTACAAATTACACAGTTCATTCCAGGAAACGTTTGAGAAATTATTAGGAAATAAAAGATCCATAAAATAAAGTGTTAATCGAACTTCTGTAAACTTTACAAAGCCTGCAAACTAAAAACTTTATCTGTAAACTCCATCAGATTTATCACTTTGCATAGATCATTGTGTCGTATTGTGTTTCTGATGTTTCCTCTTTAGTTTTCTTCACGTTTTGTCCTTGTTCATATATTATAAATGTTAAACATGTTAATTCAGGATTTCACACAAATAAAACAACTTTTCTAAAAACTTATATATTTTTATTATACGTCACATGTTACGTATCGCTGAGTTAACGTGTCTGATGAGTCATGTGATCCCTTTAAAGTTGATTTAACTTTGGTAAGTGAACGTTCACACACACACACCAGACTCACAGAATTCCCTCTCCTGTATGTAAAGTGATGCAAACATTATGTCGTTCACCACCGACCACAGAGTCCACAGTTTCTCTGCGGCGCTTCTCTGCCACGCACCAGAGGACGAGCGTCGCTTTAAACAGCTTACACACCATCATCATCTCTTAATCTATGCACGCAGCCTTTCATACAAACTCCGGGTTCCTTAAATCTCTCAATTTCATGCTTCAAATTATCCTGACTCTGCATGATTAGGGGACAGGCTGCCTCAATATACGTTAAATGAAGTGGTTAAAGTCGTTAACTGTGACTGTGAGGGCAGGCTGTGGAGCATGAGCAACATTTAGAGCTTCAGTTTTACCTGTTAATGTTACTGCAATCTTCACATGTAAGATCTGAGGCGGTTTACAGCTAAATGATTCTATGATCTGCGTCTGTGGAAAAGCAACAGTTTTAGACCATAAACCTCTCGATTATAAAGTCAGTGCGCTGTGACGTGGACCTTCCTGTTACCTCTTTGTGGTCCTGCTCGTCTCCCAGGCGTTTGATCTTGGTGTAGTCCACGGGCAGGTCCCAGCAGTCGGCCTCGCTCAGCTGGTAGCAGCGGCTGCTGAGCAGAGCCTGCCGCTGGGGCGACATCGGCTGCAGGGGGGTCAACACCGTCCCGCTGCCCTCCGGACCGCCGGGCTGACCCGCCACATCCACTGCACCGCTGTCGTCCAGGTCACCAACCGGACTCTGACGGAGACACAGTGAGAAGATATCTGACGGGTAAACGTAGGCTGGTGACAGTCATGAGGGATTCAGCATTTATGTCTTCAATCACCAACATCAGTTCAGTATTTCACTTTAATGAAGGTGACGGACTCACAGGTCACAGGTTAAATATAGGAGGCCCAGATATCCTCAACAGATCTAAAAACAATTCCCATGACCATTAGACCCTCCCTGTAAACGCCCTCGTCTTTCAAACGCCACGTCCCAACGTCACGTCACAACAAGGTTTGACGTCTCATCCCATATGAGGTCACCTTCATGACGTCATCAAGGTTATTTTCTTAGACTTCACAGGTCTCCTCCAGTCCAGCACAATGATCCTCATGTGTAAAACTGGTGGAGTTGCCCTTTAAGGATTATAAACGTTTCCTACGGTCATGCTCCAGGGTCAGTAATCTCTGGTTACTGATCCTCCTCTGGGTTACGAAAAGAGGTTCATATTCCCAAAGTCTTTCCTAAAGCAAACTTAAAGGATAGTTTTTAAAGGATGACTGCTGATATCTGGAAACATGCAAACAAACCGTTAATCCAGATTATCTAAACGACTTCATTTAGAGGTCAAACAGCAGGTGAGCGCAACTGTGACCCTAAACCCAGCCGGCTAACCCTAACCCTGTGATCTCTTCCTGAACCTACACAAGTAGTTTTGTCGGTTCCAACCAAACTGAATATAATAAATAAAGAACAAATCGACTAAGTCTCAGACTACCTGTGTCAGCAGGTCCTGGGGTTTTCCCGCCAGAGCGTGCGGCAGCTCCCGGCACCTCGTCGACAGGTTGAGGATGGCCGTGGCCGCCATGTGGGCCGCCTCCATGTCGTGGGTGTAGTCGAAGCTGCTCTTGCTGCAGGTGCTGCTGGCGCTGCTTCCTCCTCCGCCCCCTCCGCCACCTCCTCCTCCTCCTCCTCCTCCTCCACAGCTCAGGCTGCTGCTGCTGCTGGGAGCGTAGCTGCTGGTCGTACTGCTGGCCGGGCTCGACGTCTTACAGTAGCGCTTCGCTGCAGGGACGCACACACGCATATGGTTGGTTTGTTAGAGTGACGGTGGCATCCAGCCAAACTGTGCAGCAGATGGATTGTTAGAGAAGAACCAAAATTATAAAAAGAACTTCTGATGCATTTAAAAATATGCAAATGAAAGACTGATGAAGGAAAGGCAAGAGAAAGAAACTTAAAGGCTGCTCATGTATTTTTCAAATTTTTAACAGATCCCATGAAAAGACCAACAATGAATGTTTCTCCTGATGAGGACTGTGTGAGCAGTGCACTGTGTGCCACAGAGCTCCATTGTTGTTCACTGAACTATTAAAGGTGCTGCGTGTCAGTATTCAATTTAAAATAATCAAAAATAAACTCATATTATCTGCAGAATGTGAAGAGATATCTACTGAAGTTAGCATGCTAACCAGCTAGCAGATCGTGTACTACCACTTTGCACCTCAAGAGGCGACAGTGAGTCACTGTAGCGTCCGGTCTGCCCTCAGTCCAACACAAGAGGATGAAAAAGAGAGCAAGAAAGAAATAGAAGCAAAACAAGAAGCTTGTTTTCCAGAGATAGAGACGGGAATGAAGTTTGATGCTGAACTCTCAATGTTTGTTCTAGACTGGTCAGTAAACAGCCGTTAATGCTAATGCTAGCTAGGTAGCTATAGCAAATACTAAACTACATATAGCACCTTAAAAAACACTCACAAATCCTCACTAGAAAAATAGTCCTCATCGAATGTGATTTTACTCCTGTGACCAGCTGTTTTAGGAAATTGCTGAACTGTTCCTGTCTGTATTTATTCCTTTTCCCTGCCAGTTAAATTTGCATTTACATTTTTGTTCTTTGCCATTTCACTCCTGTAACGAAGCTTTTCCAAAAACTCTCTCCAGATTGTACAAATCCCAAAATACAGGTTTGGTGTTTCAGTGTGTTTGGGGAAAGTCGACATGACAGACATTAACCTGATGAACTGTATTAATCCGCAGCTGAAAGTAGTCCCCAACAAATTCGCTATTTCCTCCTGTTTGAGTAATAATTGCTGAAAACTGCTGTGCCCAGCTGTTTTAGGAAATTAGGAAATAAAACTATATATTTAAACTACAAATATGGAGATTTATGTCTCCAGTAGGAGCCAGTGAGCTTGGGGCTCAGTGCCACAGACCGGGAAGTCGGAAAGTCTCAGAATTAGAGACGGACTAACACATTGTTGTTCTGGTCTCCTCATGGGGTTTGTTAACAAGAAAAATACAGAGTAACACCAGACTGGGAGGCGCAGAGATTCAGAGGGAAAATAAGATAGAAGTGGAAAGAGAGGGAAGCTGTAGGGACAAAGAAGAAGAAAGACATGGCAATTGTATGATGGTGAGATGGTGAATCTGGGCTCGGCTGGAGTGATGCTGATGGAGGGAACGATGGTAGAGAGGAGGAGGGAGGGAGTCGTGACGGAGGGGAGCGCAGACACCTCGTCTAAAAACCTCCCTCCTGCCTGTATCTCACTAATGGCTCCCAGCCAAAGAAACAGGGCTCGCCTTCATTATCTCTCTCCTGTTTCACAATCTCTCCATCTGCACCTCCTCCCTCCCTCCCTCCCTCCCTCCATCCCTCTATCCTCTGCTCAGAGGAGGCAGGCTCTCAAGCCTGGCATTTCCATAACTCTGCTTTTCACTCCAGCCATGTGGAGAGGCGGAAAACACCAGTGTTTCCAGTGCTGCAACAAAGAGAATACACCGAGTGCTGAGCATGAGTGAGTGAGTGAGTGAGTGAGTGAGTGAGTGAGTGAGTGAGTGAGTGAGTGAGTGAGTGAGTGAGTGAGTGAGTATGTGTGTGTGTGTGTGTGTGTGTGTGTGTGCTGCTTTTAGAGTACATAATGTTCTCCCCAGAACAGGAGAATGAATAGAAATCCTCCATAGCAGGTTTCATTCCCTTCAACAAGACAAAGCACTGACAGAAAATCATCCACCTGTTTTTTATGTTTATTTTTAATTCAGCTAGAAAATAAATTTGAATTGGAAAAATCGTGAATTTGAATATATGTTTTTTTATGTGTGTGGGAGGTGAATAATTTGGCAGATCAATAAACTCAGAAATCAGAATAAAGACTGAATGTATCAGATTTTCCAGATATATAATGACACTGTTGGAGCTGTTTCTTCTTCTTCTTACTCATTTAATTCCAGTATTGAAGATTCTCGTTCTTGTTCCAACAAGAAGCCAAAAAATTAAAATACAAAAAAAGTAAAACCTTCTGTAAACCAGAACTGAGACAGATGATTATGAATTTTATTCAGCCCGCAGATGTGCGTTCATTTTCCTTACCGTCGTATCCCTTCGGGGAGGTGTCTCGCCCGTGGTGGGACTTGGTTGTCGGGCCTCTCTTCCCGTAGCCGCCATGCTGCCCGTCGTAGCCGCCGTAGTCGTAGCTGGTCTTGGAGTATTTCTCCAGCTCCTTGGCCAGGTTGGAGCGCGGCGTGCTGGTCGGGACGTTGTTCTTGTAGCCGTACTGAGGAATCTCCAGCTGCTTGACGAAACACATCGGCCTGAGAGACAAAAAGCGCTATTTAGTATCCCCGATTTAGGTAACTAGGGAAAATATAATTTACAATTATTTGTTTCCCAAAGTCAAGATGACAGCAAAGAAGACAAGGTAGATGATGTGTTCACAGAATGCTGTAAATTTCACTGCTCCATTCTGCATCCCTCATTAATAATTAAAGGTTTGCCTGCATGACAAAACACACTGACATTTGGCATCCCTGCCTAATGCAATGTATGTCAAAGTAATCAAAACCTGGTTTCAGCTCTTAGGAAACTTGGTTGTTTGTTTCACTGCACAATTCAGTATCCCTCATTAACATATGAAGATTAGAAGTTCAGTATGTGACAAACATATTCAAAAATATATCAAATCTGGTTCCACATTTTAGGAGACAACCATCAAAAACAGGAGCATTGTGTGTGTATTCTCATTATTATTATTTGGCATCCCTTATTTAAGTAAGTAAGTTACTGCACCATTTCACATTCATATTGTAGCTGAACTGGCTGGCTGAATAGGACTGAAAGCTGTTTCAGAGCGCATGTTGGCTTCCCGGACAAAGACTACCCAAGAATGAAGGCTGGATTTATGTGTTGGTGGCATCATTGAACCATTTGGTATCAATGATTTAAGAGTCACACAAGAATGTAATGCAAGGACAAAGACTTTTTTGTTTTCAATATTTTTTTAAGCGGCAATGCTGGGCCGTTAGTTTTACTGCACCATTCAGCATCCCCAGTTCATTAAAGTTCATATAATCATATGACAGAAGTTGCATAACAAAACAAATCATCATTATTATTAAAATAGGTTATTTTGATGTCAGTCTGACTGTGTAATTCAGAGTGGGCGGTACCTGAGGACGCGGTCTGATGTCTGATTGGTCTTGCTGCCGGTGTCAGTCGAGTGGCTCTTCTCATGAACCTTTGCCATCTTCTCTGCGGCAGCGATGGGACAGCCGGACAGACTGCAAGAGGGGGGGTGGGGGAAGGACAGCACACGGCCTGGTTAATACTGTACTGTACTGACACACACACACACACACACACACACACACACACACACACGCACACACACACACACACACACACACACACAGAGCATCTGGCTCTGGATGAAGAGAGGTTCACAGACTGAGGGTCTGACAGGCTGATTGATCAGCTAACTGGTAAAGAGTCCAAGCATTGGCTGGTTTATTGACTCTTGTTTACTGTCTTTCTGACTGCTTATTACGACTGACTGGTTCATTAACTGGCATCTATTGGTTTCACTAACTGACTATTTACTGACTGGTTATTTACTGGCTTACTGAGGCAGACTATTTACTAACGGCTCAACAACTGACTGACTGTTTAGTGACTGGTTACTATCATCACACACAATCTATAACTGTCCATCAGCTGCTGTATCCACAGTGATTGTTTCAATTAGTTTAGATTATATTCAATTAGCAGCTGCTTTGTACAGAGGTGTGATGCTGTCATGTAAGAAAAAAATCTGATTTGTTTTTCTGAATAAACGAGATCATTACTTCAGAATTCTGAGATAATGATCTCATTAATTCAGAAAAACAGAGCAGGATTTTTTGTTTTAAATGTTTTAAAGAAAACTTTTCTCTAAAACTTTTCTGAATTCATCAGATAATTATCTCAGAATTATCTTGTTAATTCAGAAAAACAGAGGATGTTTTTTAAGACAACTTTTATCTAAAAAAAAATCCTGTTTTTCTTTAAAAAAAAAAAAAAAAAAAACTTCAAAAAAATCCTGTTTTTCTAAAACAGAGAAAAACTTTTGAAATTCTGAAAAACAAAAAAAATCTTCAAAAAACAATCCTCTGTTTTGAGTGAATGCATTACGCTTCTGTAGCTTTGGTCCTAAATGACATGATTTCATTCAGCCTCCATAGAAAGAAGCACAAGGTGCCCTCTACAGTTGTAAATACATCAGTTGCATTATGGGTGTGTAAAGCAAAAAGCTAAAGAAAAATACATAGACAGAAAAGGAGAGAATCATTTTAAAAAGAGGACTAAAATAGGACTGTTGGCTCCGGTTTTCTCCACGTTTACACATGACATATATGCATTGAACAGACTGAGGGTTTCAGCTCCACGGCTCTCCTCCTGCTGGCAGTCAGCGAGCATCTAAATCTGTAGGAGAAGTCGTTGCTGATTGGACGGACGCTCGTTTACGTGTCACTGACATCGAGCTTCTGGTGTGAATTTTGCGTAAAAGAAAACTGGCTGCAGCACAGTTTGCATTCAGAACTTAACCCCCCCCCCCCCATCCTCTCCTGTCACTGTGGGCTGTCTCCTAATTACTTCACACACAGAGGAGATGAGATACTGTTGTTGCCAACACACACACACACACACACACACACACACACACACACACACACACACACACACACACTATAAAGGATGGTAGTGTATGAGGAGTGTGTGACAGATCAGCACGGCCGCCGCTGCTGCTTCTGCTGCTGCTGTGAAGGCGTTTCCATGGCGACTGCCAGACATGAAAGCTGTGAGAGCTGATAGCTAGCAGCAGCTAAGCTAGCTAGCTAGTGCTTTGTTTCCTCTCCCAGCGGAGCTGTGCTACATAACACACCCTGCAGCCACGTCTGAGCGAGTCTGTGTGTGTGTGTGTGTGTGTGTGTGTGTGTGTGTGTGCGCGCTCCTCTGTCTGCCAGCGCACGTGTGCTGCTGTCTGTGAGCTAATTTGTAAGTGTCTGACTGTGAATGTGTGTGTGTTTGTGTGTGTGTGGGAATGTGTGCTCCAGCAAGACTGTGTGCATGTAGACTGTATGTGTGTGTGTGTGTGTGTGTGTGTGAGAAAATGAGTGTGAATCCTAATTACTTTACATAATTCAAAAATGTGTGTGTGTGTGTGTGTGATGCTCTCTGCCTGTTAAACAGCTGATGTGACGCAGGCACACCTTCACCTCAAACATGGGGCAAATTTTAAATTTAAGCCTCTTTCTCACATGAATCTAAACCTGGAAATGTTCCAGCACTTGTGTAGAGATCATCTTCTAGAAAAGAACGGGCCATTTTCTGTCTTAGGCTCAAGAAAAAACTGTGTAAAAATCTTTTTCCAACAGCTGTTAATTGAACGAAAACACACAAAATGAGCAGCGTCTCATACATGTACATAAAAAAAACCTATCGCCTTGGTTTGATTCAGATTTTAAAACTGGAAGAACGTGTGTATCAAAGTTTACTTTACATCCACAGCCTTAAAACCAGCTGTCAGGACTTCTGGAACTTTGTGATGTCACAACAAAGCAGTCACCAAGCCCCGCCCACCTGGACCCACCATCCAAACCTTGCAGGATTTGGTTTCTCTAAGTGTTTTTACCTGAAATCTGCTATATTTTTATTGGATCACTCAGAAAACAGTCAGTCAATCAGAAGAGAGGCTCAGAGCCTCCTCTCTTCTGATTGGCTCACCGACCTGTTGTTACTAGAGCTCCAGAGAGAAGCCTGAGAGAGGAGATGTAAAACTACACTGAGATGGTTTTTATATCTTCTGATGGATCAACACTTTGAATAAAACACAGAAGAAGAAAATATCGACATTAACAGGTCAGAATTCAGAGCCTGAAAGACTTGCAGTTGACTCAGACCTCCACTTAAGGACTTAAGGACTTGAAACTTGCTGAGGAATGCAGCTGCTGAATTATGTGTCATTTCCAATAAACATGTTAGAAACTTCTTAATTGTGACATGCTACAGAGTCTGAGTCTCTTTAATAAAGGCTACCGACCAAAAACAAACAGGCAGCATTGAAATGACACCCACCTGCGAGTGTGAAGCTAAACGTCATTCAACTTAAACACACAAACGTACAGTATGTTTTGTGTAAATCAGCCACATTCTGTCGGCTGTGTTAGCGGTCCGGCTGGAGGCCGCTCACTCACCTGCGGTGCGAGTTCCTGTTGCTATTGACATGACCCCGTCCAGAGCAGCCGGGAGTAGGGCACTTTAAAACATTTTCATACATGGCAAGGACTTTGACAGACAGGAAAAGGTGAGAAAGACAGCGAGGGTTAGGAGCAGACAGGAGAGTTACCGGGTGTTCAGCTACGACGGTTAGGGCATGCAGAGATCACAGCGGCACGACTCACACGACAATGGAGCAGGAAATGTCACAAAATGAGCCATGAACGATGCAACAGAGATGGTGTTGCTACAGAAACGCCACCATGAAAGGACAGAGAGTGGTAAACACACTTTCACCTCTTGGTTCAACAACAGGTCACTACAGTGAAAACTCTTCTGTATGTCAGCTACATTTTCACTTCAGCTGTTTCAGGTTCGCTTCAGGTTTTGATTCTAGATTATCAACAAAAACATCCCTGCCAGTTTAAGGTAAAGATTCTTCAGCCTCCAACTTTTTATCACTAACTACTTCCTGTTTCTACCCTTGTCAGCTCCATGTAATGGTGTCCTGCTCACTGAAGCTCAGTGGTTGCCGACCTGCGGGCCACAAAGGTATTGCAAGTGGGCCGAAAAATCGTTTGCAAAACAGAACAACAAGAAAATATGTAAGTAAAAAATATGCATATATAATGAATGTTTTTTAAATGTTTTAAAACAAAATGATCTTTTAAAAATATTTGCTACCTGGTTTTATTTGGCCTCTGTATCGTTATGGATGTGGGTTAACATTTTTGAAATTTTCAAGTGGGCCCCGAGTTGGAAAAGGTCAGGAACCACTGCTCTAATCAGTCTCTTACCTATTTTTAGTGTAATATATTTACATGTCATAAATGTACTACAAACATGACATAAAACAAAATTAGTTTCAATAATAGATTCTATTTAAAATCATTCCTTCTAAATGTCCTTTATTTTATTACGGTTGGGCCGGAGTAAAGGTTTTCAAACCGGTTTGATATATATATATATATATATACATATATATATATTTATGCATTTACTTGATAGAGTAAGTGGAGAGAGACAGGGAGTGGGGGAGAGACATGCAGTAAAGGCTCCGCCCTGAAGTCCATATGGTGCATGCCCTAACCACCATCAGGATGCCCGAATACCGAATATAGAATATGTACCGAATTTTACCACTAGGTGTCACCACTTGACTCAGCGCTCCCAAGTGTAACATAATGATGTCATCAACTCCAGTCCACTTGGTGGCAGTAATGCACCTCTACGCTGGTTTGCCAACCACCAATACTTGATACAATTATCTCGTCCGACACTATGATCTTACGTTAATCATGTAATTTTTCTTATTAACATGCAATACAAGCTGGATTTAGCGCCGGTTGGCGCAGGTTGCTAATGTCGGCTACTTCTTCATTTGTCAGAACCTTCATAACCACAAATGTCGGTTAGCATAAAATCAAACCGGTTTAAGGTCGTACACCGGACCAGACCCGCAAGACTGGAAATTGACCCAACTCTAATTACTATAAACCGGACCGTGGTAATAATGATAGTAATAGGAACAGTAATAATCTTCAGTCGTCATTGTTTGGCAAAGGAAAAGACGTCATGAGCGTCACCCTTAGCTAATGTGGCAGCTGTGACATCACTACAGTCCATGTTATTCCTCGTGCTCCTCTCTTTGCACTCCGTCCTGTTCTTCTGTATAAAGCTATAATCTGCAGGCGTGACGCCCCTGTGACCCCACCATGGCAAGTTTTACCTGTGAGTTTAGTGTGCGTGATTAAAGCAGGTGTGTTCTCATGCAGGTGTTTTTGTGAGTGTGTGCAGCCAGCAGGTGGATCACACTGACTCTTCATGCTGTTCACGTTACATCAGCGACACCAGACATCAGGCAGGTGTGATGAGGAGGAAGAGAAGAAAGCAAAGGGGGACGCTGATTTCAAAGTGCTGCGCTCTGAAACTCAGAACCTTGATAACGTTTTGCAGCTAATCAGGGTTTTACCTTGAATTTTGCTCCTCTAATAAAAACCACCAGTCGCCCGAATGTGGCTCCGTCACACATTAAATCCTGATTTATAACATTGCAAATCACTTATTTACGAACAAGCCGTCGTTCTCACCAAAGTCAAACCCGAAATATCTATAAAACACCTCCAACGTAACACAACACACATGTCATGCAGGACGGGTGCATGGTGGTGGACAGCTAACAACATGCCCGACATTGTCCAACTCTCACTGCTACACAATCCATCCAACAAGTCATTTAAAGTCAGCGTTAATTCTTTCAGTCAGAACAAATATCTTAACTTCAGTTAAACGAAGTAAATAAGTGAGTTTGGGGTCGTGAACTGGACCGACCCGAAGGTTTTCATTGGTTTTTAAGGTGAAAAAAAGGTTTCAGATCCACAAACATTTCTCAGAGGAAGAAATAATCTGATTGGTTAAGTCAAATCTCAGCAGGCGGAGCTAAAGAAGGTCTCCTTCCTGCATTTATGCAATGTCAGGAACTACGGAGAAAACTTCCTGTTTTTCAGATTTAAAGTGTTCACACACTATTCCAAGACACTACAGTTACCACCACTGCTAGCCATGTAGCCACAGAGCTAAATACCCATTTTCATTGTGTTTTTACTGAGTGTGTAGCTCTTTTTTAATTTCTGAATTAGAGTTTTAATGGTACTGCTGGATTTTATCTTGAAGTAACTGACAGCTTCAGTGGTTTTGATATTTGTGCCACTGATTTATTGACACAGTTGTGTAGAAATACCTGATATCTCCAACCCAGGGGTGTAGCTATGAAACTGACGTGATAGATTTTAAAGACATGTAGATAATTGGAGTTCAGTTTTTGCCATTTTGTTGTTGTATTTAGCGACCTTTGCTGGTTAGAAGACAAGAAGACAAGGGTTCTTAACCTCCCCCAGCTGAGGTTTAACTCAACCAATCAGATGATTCCTGCCTCGAGGGCAGCTCCGCCTCTGAGAAATGATTGTTTATTAAAGCCACGAGCCACAACATGAAGTTCTGTGTCGGCTGAAATGACTTGTCAGATTGTCCTTATTTAGAGTTTTTCAGCGCAGCACCACATCCAGGCAGTGGGACCTACTCTCAGGCGGGACTCGGTCCTTGTGGGGACACCCGGACAGGCTGCGGTGGTGCGGGTACAGACCCGTCACGTGACCTGTCCCGTCGCAGCCCGGCGTCGGACACTTGCTCTCCTTCTTCTCCCCTCTGGAAGAGTCTGGAAAAGGACGGAGAGAATAAGCGAGGGAGGTGGAGGTGAGTCAACAGGTACAGGTAACTGGCAGCTGAGCGTCGGCACAGTCGGCTGTTTTTTCTGGCACCAAAGGGTGGGCCGGCTCTGGCCCATATATGGCTGGTGACGATTATCCTGCTGAATCAAAAAAAGTTGTTGATTATTTACTGTTATAATCAAAAGACAGAGGAAAAATCCCACTGATCCAAGGTGAAGCTTCAGGGCTGAACTACATAAATACATCATCCCTGCAGCTCTCTATAAAGATCCAATGATATAATAATATAATAATATACAAAAGCAACGACAGGCATAAAGAGCACTTCTGCTTTTGATAATTTAAAATTTTCATAGTGTGAAAATGCTGCTTTTACTTGAGTAAATAATTCTCCTTAAATTCTTCTTCTGCTGTATTTCTTCTGTCATCATCAACATCACAATAAAGCTGCTCACATGAACACAACATCAGGCTGAATGAACCAGGAGAAACAAAATGGCAGGCTGTGATTTGAGGAGTGTGGACCTGGGCTCCAGTCGCCGGCACTCGAGTCGTCTCGGGGCCAGAAACCGACACCTGGAGGCGGCGTGAGTTTCCTGTCCTCGGTCCGGTTCAGACACATCATAATGGAAGCTTTCCTGCGGACTAATAAAACCTCCCTGTGGGCTAACAAAGGCATCCTCTGTACTAATGAATCAGTCTGAAGCCCGTCTGAGTCTGAAGCGAGGCTGATAACTGCGCAGCACTGACTCCCTCCCGGCGGCGCCGGGCTCGTATTTGAGTGGATTTAGAGAAATAGGCCGCAGATAGCGTCCCACAGATGAGATTTGCTCTCCTAACGGGCCGTGCGGATTGCCATTACTCATGCCTGACAAGCCGGCCGTCTGATGTTCCCACACCGGCCTATTTTAACAACATAAGCTGCTGTCAGAGGAAAACCATGCATCTGCAGAAAAAAAAAAATAACTGTGTCGGTCCTGAATGTAGAAAATAAGTGCCCATTATCTCATTGGCGGCCATGTACAGCATCTCTAAAATAACACAATGGAGCTTTAACAGGTTTGAAGAGCCCAGAGGTCAGAAACTCATTCAACCCAGCGATGTGCACAGACATTAAAGTTACAGTTGTGTGTGTGTGCGTGTGTTTTTCCCGTTAGCCTCGGGCTGCTGCAGTATTGAGGGTTACAGGAAGTCAGACAGACGAGATAAACTCCCTCCCTGCTGACCTGGGTTCAGATTTTTGGAGTAAAAAGCTGCTTCAGGTCAAATGTAATGCGAGGAGGTGGTTGTAAAATTGGCAGGATATAGGAGAGGAAACATGATCAGAGGACGACTTTGTGAGCACAGTTCAAACACTAACAATTTTCAGGACTTTTTGTGGTAGAGAACAGACAGTGTTCATTGTGTTTTATCATTTAAAAGTGAGACTTTTATTACCAGTTTATTACCAAGATGTAATGAAATAATATTTCTTTTAAACAGTTGATTCACGAGTCTGTTGAGGCTCCGATCAGCGTTCATCACCATTAGGTGGTATTACGTGTACGAAAACTTAACATTTTTCTTTTATTCCAAATGTTCACGTTAAAAGGATTTTCAAAATAAAAGTATAAAGAATGTGACAAACTGACTGTAATTATAAAATTATAGATTATAAAGAGCAATAAAGATCTAAATAAAGACTAATAACTGGCAACGTAGTGATTTTCTCTCTGGATTTATTGACTTTTAAAAACCTTTAGCTACTTTTTTTTCTATAAAAGTGGTGAGCCTCAGTCAGTCGACCAATCATCAGCCAGACAGTGACAGGAATAGGCTGTGAAAGGGCGTCCCTAACGCCCTATTGTTTTTATTCTAAATGATTTAACTTGACGATCGAAGTTTAATTTTGTTGAGTCAACAACAGTGAATTTATTCCAGTTCATGACTCTTCAGTTTCCCAGTCTGAGCACCAGCTGCGGTGGTTTTAATGTCGGTGTTAGACGTAGATGCACACCGAGGAGCTGCTTGAAAAAAATGGCTGATTGTATAATTACATACTGTAGTTACAGTCAGTTTAGTTCAATTTAATTATCTTTAGATTAAAAATCATAATAATCTTCTTTGTATTTGCAGCTTTAGTGAAAATCGTTGGCAACTCTGCTTCTGAGACATCGCTGCAGACCGTCCGGGGAATGACGCGGGGCCCCTTCAGGGAGGTTTCCTACTGAGATGTCACTGCAAATTGTTAATTAGTTGTTTAAGGCGGAAGGGAGTTGCATCTTGAGATACTGCGGTGGAGTTAAGTTTGTCAGCCGGCAGCCCTGCCCGCTGCGTCTCTCTACACACTGACAGACTCACTGAACTAAGTTTGCCACTGGAAGTCCTGGTGTCACAGTAAAAATAGTCCTGGCAGGAGAAAACCTCCCAGACAAAGGTTCCTCTCTGCCAGAGGTGAAATATCTGAGTCGAGGAGGCCGAGGATGAAGAAACACTCAACTGAAAAATATAATAAACTCTGATGGACAGATTTTCCAGCAGCGTCCAAACTGAACGCAGATGTGAAATCAACATGAAGTCGTACCACGGATCAATACTAACCCAGCGAGGGTCAGTGTGTGGGTGTCGCTGCCTACCTTTAGGGTAGTACGCCCTCTTCAACCCGTCATGGTGCATCCTGGACTTGCGCTCCTCGGCGCCGCTGCTCAGCCTCGGGCTGTGCTCGCCCTGGCCGCGGAGGTGATGGTGATCCCGCCGGGGCACGGCGTGCTCCGAGGCCATGCGGTCCCTCATGACCTTCGCTCTCTCTGACTCCAGGGCGATGGCCTTCTCCAGCAGCGACAGGTTTCCCTTGGCCATGTCGTAGGTCTCGTCCGAGCGGTCGGAGGCCACCGACGTGGTGTCCTCGTCGCCCTCCTGGCTGCAGCTGGTCGGGTAACCTCTGGACGCCGGGCTCAGTTGCTCCTCCAGCTTCATCAGGTTCACCATGTCGGAGTAGCTGCGCTCCAGAGACCGCGGCTCCTCCAGTGGACCCTGCTGGCAGCTCTCGTACCTGAGGGGAGGATGAGGAGGAAAAACTGAGACGGTGCAGGAAGTCGAGGTCGTCAAGCAGCGAGGGCGATGGAACATTCATGTGGTCGTTTTTAATCAGCGACATCAAGTTACCGGAGGAATCGTTAATGTGTCACAAATTTAGCTAAATCTATATAAACAGACCATGGGGCGTCGTGTGGCGTAGTGGTCTAAGGCGCCCCGGTTCGAGTCCCGCATCATACGGCCTTTGCTGTCATTCCCCCTCTCTGCCTCCCCATTTCCTGTCTCTCTACTGCACTATCAATAAAGGCATAAAAAGCCCAAAAAAAATATTCTTTAAAAAAAAAAAAAGAGAGAGATTGCGTACCTGGTCTGGTGATGCACCACCTGCTGGTCCGGCGGGTTCTGCAGCTGCTGGTGGAGGGCGTGGAGGGCGGGGCGGTCAGACGGCTGCGTCTCGCTCAGTTTCCGAGCCAGATCGAAGCACTGGTTCCTCAGACACTCCAGACTGCTGAGGCACACCTCCTCCTCGCTCTCGTCCGCCTGAACCCTGACCCCGCCGCCAGGCCGCCCGTTAACGTGGCCGCCGTCGTCCACCATGGTGCCTTCCGGGTAGCCGTCCTCGGGCAGCATGGCGCCGTGACCCTGTGCGAGCAGCTTCAGGGAGTCCACCGTCTCCCTGACCACGTCGCTGTCCAGGTCCACGCTCAGCTCGCCCTTCCTGTCGCCCTGCTCGCTCCCGTCATCCTCGTCGTCGTCATCGTCCTCTCCGGCGCTGTTGGAGGAGTTGCTGTTCATCTCGGACTCGGTCATGGCCTGGTAGGCGGCGTCTTCGGCGATCTTGCCCAGGTTGAGCAGCGACTTGGCCACCAGCTCGTCGTAGTTCTCGTACTCTTCTCCGGTGGCGTTCCCGACGCCGATGGTGCAGCTGTTGTTGTTGTCGTCCTTCTGAACCGGAAGGAGCTTTGATTGTCCACCGGGTTTGTAGTGGTTCTCTACTGTCAGGAAGAAAAGAACAAAATCTCACATCACAGCCAGTTTTCACCCATCAGCATCGTTTCCCTCGGCGTTTTGCACCATGAGCAACATAAACAGCAGGTAATGGGTCAAAATACGAGAGGAAATGGATTCATTTTGCAGATAATGTAACTTTCTGTTCATTTATAGAATCAAGATCCTGCAGATGAAAAGGAAATGAAGCTTTTACAGCCTCTAATCAACTCAGCGACGCTGATGAACCCGCTCTCTCCTCATATATCCCTGAATACATTAGCTGCATCCCTCCCAATTATGATCCACTGTTTACTCACAAAAAACATACAACCCAGAGCTGTGCCGAGCGGCGTCGCTCGCTCTCTCCCCGCTAAGCCTCGCTGTTGATTTTGGGGACAGAGACGGCGAATGAGAGCAGAGAAATTGAAAAGGGAGGCGTGTGAGGTGCTCCGATTCAGGAGCCATAAATATCCTCAGGAGGAGAAGCCGAGGCAGAGCGCATGTGACACGTCCGCCGAGACGGGGAGGGGAACAGGGAGGGGAGGGGAGGGTGAGAGTTAATAACTCAGCAGAGCTCCTCTCCCGATTATTCGTGAAGCGCTGTCAGAAGCGATTGAGGACACGGGGGGTGCTGGGGAGGGGAGGGGGGAGGGATCGAGGGAAACGTGGCGGGAGGGAGGGCGCAGAGCATCTGTCTACCAGCGATTGGGCTCAGCAGCTCTCATCACTTACGCCTCTCCCCACTGCAGAGAGTGGACACCGGTCTGACCCAGAACGGGACCTGAATATGAGCCACATCTGGAACACGACTGGCTTCAGTCACAGCTTCATACATGTTCCAGGTCTCCTGCCTCCACCCGCACAGACCTGTGGGCTGCACCTGCACACGGATCTAAGACGCTGTCCTCACCTGAAAACTAACGGCTGCAGTAACGACAACTGACTATTATTATGAGGGAACGAGATCATATCGGCTATCAGCTGTTTCACAGGGTGACGATCAGACTAGAGGAGGCTCTGAGCCTCTCTTCTGATTGGCTGACTGTTTTCTGAGCGATCCAATAAAAATATAGCAGATTTCAGGTAAAAACACTCAGAGAAACCAAATCCTGCAAGGTTTGGATGGTGGGTCCAGGTGGGCGGGGCTTGGTGACTGCTTTGTTGTGACATCACAAAGTTCCAGAAGTCCTGACGGCTGGTTTTAAGGCTCAGTTTCTGAATACAGGCTGTGTGCATTTCTCTGTGGACTGAGGCTTTGATACTTTCACAGTATTAATATAGAAGCTAGAGCTGATCTATAATCACACTACACATGGACACAGACCTTTACACTGGAGGAGCTTTAAGGAAATATTCATCTGAATTATCTTGGTATTTAAAAACATTTGGATTTGAAGATAAAATCTGGAGGAAAACATGAAGAAAAAGAAGGAAACAAACAGAAACAACAAACTCACCCTGCTGACGATTCTGCTCCTCCTCTTCCTCCTCATCCTCGTCTTCCTCCTGCTCCTCCTCGTCATCACCGTCCTCCACTTCTTCCTCCTCTTCGTCCATCCCCTCCTCCTCCTCCTCCTCCTCCGTCCGCTCCCCTCTTATTGGCGCATCCGCTCTCTCCACCTCCACCTCCTCCTCCTCCTCTTCTTCTTCCTCCTCCTCTCCCTGCTCCTCGTTGTCCTCCGAGAACTCGTCCTCCACCTCCCCGTCTTCTTCCTCATCGCCTTCTCTCTCCCCTTCCTCTTCCTCCTCGTCCTCCTCCACTACCTCCCCTTGCTCCTTCCCCACTACCCCCACCTCCACGGCTTCATTCTCATAGCTGGTGTAGACGGCGGTGTCTTCCTCCTCCTCCTCCTCGCCCGGGCAGGAGGTGAGGAAGGGCCTCCTCTTGGCAGCCGGCTCCAGCGGCTGTTTTTCCAGAGCCTTCCTCTTCTTGGCCAGCGGGCAGCCGTAGACACTGAGATAAGACAGAGGGCACATCCGTGATCAGCCGCCATCTTTGTTCTCATATTTACTATTTGATCATTTCAACTATTTTATCTTCAGCTTCACCGGCCCGACGCTTGCCCTTCCTCTGCTAACTGGAGCCGATTCTCAGGTCAAACAAACCTGAAACCCGAGCCAACTCTGGCAGACACACACGGGGCCGGAGCTGGCCCACATCTGATACTACAGAGCCAGAACAACCGCGTGTACCGACACTCGGCCGGCTCGCCTGGTCGTATTTATCAGTTCAGAATTATTTAGTGGGTCATAGACAAAAGATCACAGCTGGACTGATAAGAGTCGAGCTCCACATCTGCTTTTAGTGGAAGTGTTGCACAGTTTACAGAACAACTTAACAATAGCAATAACATGAATAAATGAAGGAAGGTTCTCTAACTGTCCTTTAATAAATATTATTAAATAAATAAATAATAGTATAACATCACTGTAAAAGAATGTATATTTTCAGAACACTACGCTTGTTGAGACAAAAAGAAATGGTGAGTTAAATTCACTGTATTTTTAATATGTTGATCCGTGTTGCAACATCCGGATTCTTCCATTCGAGTAAATCTTGTGAAGGAAAAGTCGTGTGTGATCATCTTTAAATGCTTTGGGTCGTAGCAGAAGTGTTCACAGTCGGCCCTCCTATATATGCTGCGCACATAATCTTTCTAATATTGTAATACTGATAGTGAACTACTTTGGCAGTTAAGACAGGAGAAATGAATGTATTTTACTGCTTTGTACTGCCCTCAAACAACTTTAGAGCAATACTGCCAATGTCATGTTTGAAATCTTCCCAAAATAAGAGTCCCAATAGGAATATTAATGGAATCACAGCGGGGCGTCTTGTTCGGTTGCAGCTACAATATAAGCCTGTATCTGGGAAAGACTGCACGTCTGAACGTCTGTTTTACATACAACAAATGTCACAAAGAATGAACTGTTGCATTAAAAATTGTTTACATCTACTGCTGCGCAAATTTCCCTCATTATTTCAATAAAGTTTCGCACCACAAAAAGACGGTATCACAGCGAAACAGATTAAACGCATCTTGGAGACGTGAGCTCCACATCCGAAAAGTGCGACTCGGATTTAAGCCGTTCTTCCTGCCAGTGGAAAAAGGGATGGAGCAGTTTAGCCTTGGCCTGTCTGGATGAATCTAGACTACAGTCATACAGACCTGAGGCTGTGGTGAAGCAACAGCTGTTTAAGTTTTTAATCATGTGAATATTAAAGCTATGTGCTGTCACCATGTGTAGGCAGCGGCGGCAGCAGCAGCAGCAGCAGCAGCAGCATCAGAATTAAAACAAGCTAAATCTGGGTGTGTTTGTTGCGGGCTTCATCAGGCAGCACAGTCTGCAGCAACAACAAGGAGATCAACCACTGTTTTTACAATACGATGCCAAGTCGTTATAGTTGTGTGTGTGCACTCGTTGTGATTGGCTGAACCTGTTTCACTGCAGGTAAAACAGGGAGAATCTACGACACGATTAAAATAAATCAATATAAATCATTTTGTCGGAACATAAAGAGCATGCTTCATGTGACTGTTCAGTGTTCACAGTTAAACAAAGCTGATCATTGTATTGTATTTATTGCATACATTTTTTTTTATGAACAATTTTTGATTAAATCATAAAAAACAAACAGCAACAAAAAATAAAATAAATAGAAATAAAGAGTGGAGCATGTATGCATATATACATAATGTGTATACTTCTGAAATAAACATAGAATTGATTCATGGAATATTGCACCAATAACAAGTGAAAATAATATGCAAGCATGCATAATGTATACCTGTGTCGTCTTGACTCATATGCATCCTTGTGTGCACATACACACGCATGCATGTACATATAAACAACTAGATGCCAACAATTAGGAATAATTATCCCTCATTCCCTCCCTGAGTGAGAGATCGACGCCCACATGGACGGACATGTGGACCTGAGAGCCGTCGCTCAGGGACGACATGGAATCTCTTCATTGAGACTAAATATAACATATATATAGAAAACAGCCGTTGTGTTTCCACACGTTTCACTAGATTCAGACGTTTCCATCAGCCTGCAGGACTCGGATATATTGTATTTTAACTTGTTGCTACAGTGAAAACTGTTCGTCACAAAACAAATAGAAAAAGTAAATATTTTAACTTAATGTCATTCTGTTGCGTTGAGATGTTTCTCTAGCTCCGAGAGAAAAGCCTCTCTGCTGTCAGAGGGCAACATTAGCATCACGAGGGTCAGGGGAAGGAAGGCTCGGCGTGCCAAAGTCAGAGGTCAAAGTGCTGCAGTTCGTGTGTTGAGACACTGCAGTGGATTTCCACCCGCTCTCACAGGAGGAGGAGAATCAGCCTTTAAAAAAAAAAAACCCAAAGCTTATTCAACCGGGGCCTCAATTACGCAAATCCCATAATAGTCATTAACTGTTGGGAAAATTCTGCTTTAATTGCTCCAAAACAGCAAGCACAATTATACACGCCTTTAATGTGGATTTTAGGAAGTCAATTAGTCCATTTCCATATGAAAGAGCTTATTTTGTGTTTGGAGGGCATGGTGAAGGAGGTGATGCTGCTTCTCTGACTGAAGCTGCTGCGTGTTCGTCTGACAAACCCACAGAATAAAACCTGATAACCGCTCCACAAAAACTTTCATTCCCTCTCTTTCTGTAAGCGACAATCCGTTTCATTCTGCTACTGATTCCTTTCACGTGCATCATCGTGGAAGACAATTAGTTATTTCTGAGATAAACTCGAACCACACTGAAGCCAGTGAACAGACAGTTTCACATTTGCTGGAACCAGAAAATCCCAATTTGGTAAAAGAGGGGAAGAAGTTGGGTGAGACGAACAAGCAACAAGCAACTGCCGCAAAATATACCTCCCCTTAAGAATGGTTTTCTCCTTAATACAGCTGCAATAATAAGAAATACTTCGCTATTTTCAGAGGCAACAGACAGTAACAGAAAGATAAGATGGAAGATCATTAAATAAACAGAAGTCTACAGCCTGCACAGTTCTGTGGAAAATGCACTTTTAATTTAGAATTTCATAGTTTCAACTAAAATCAAATTTGTTTCCTTCTGCTGCTTTTTAGTTTTCTTTACTGGTTATGTCCAATTCTGTGTCTGTAAACACATGAAAACACACACACACACACACACACACACACACACACACACACACACACACACACACACACACACCTCACCTCAAATGATCCCTCCATCTTTTACCTTATGGGCTGTCAGGCTGCCAGCTTGTCTGTGTGTGTGTGTCTGTGTGTGTGTGTGTGTGTGTGTGTGTGTGTGTGTGTGTGTGTGTGTGTGTGAGTGAGTGACCTTGGCCACCTTGCTGTCTCCCGCCAATTAAAATTCCGGTGGTAATTAAAGCAGATCAGAAACGAGGGAATGCTGCAGACAAGGGCGAGAGACTATGCATGGTAATTATGTGGAGAGAGAGAGAGAGAGAGAGAGAGAGAGAGAGAGAGAGAGGAGGAGTTCACACATCACATTTTCTCCTCTCACTAAACTGATCTGCTGCAGTCTGATTTGATGCATTATGATTGATTGGATCAATAATTGATTTTAGATTTGAACACAGATCAGATCAAACAGAAGAACTGGACCGACACAAACACAAGAATTTTTTATACGAACAACGTTTGAAAGAGTTGGAATCACATTATATTTGAGGATCAGATTTGTTTTTTAAAAATGAAGACAGTACCACAACACCTGCTTCTACAGAGTGTTGCATTATGGGTTGTTTGTAGCCTTAATGTTGCTAGGCTAGCAAGTTTCTTTGAGCCCATTTATAGGTCTGTCTTTTAGATCTAAGTCAGAAGTTTATTATTGTCCCCATGTGGACACTTGGAGTCCATCTGTCTCTACATGTGAATGTTTATTACTATACATAGATACCTGGAAGTTTATGGTCTTTAATTGGACACCTGTCTCTATGACAACACCTGTATTCTGTTTATGTCTCTATGACGAAACCTATAGTCCGTTTATGTCTCTATTTGGACACTTGGACATCTATAATAATCACTATGAGAATGACTGGGGTCCATTGTGTCTGTACAACAGGACACTACAGTCTAATATTGTCCCTGTGAAGACACCTCAGTGTCCATTTCTGTCTCTCCAATGATCTAAACTTCCCACAGTAACGAAGCGAGTGTTTAAATCTTCCTCTGTGCTTCTAAAGTGTGTTTTGTAGTAACCTCTGTTCAGGTCAGGTTCACCAGTCACTCAACTGCTATTAGAGCCTGAAGCATCAGTGCTGTTGCTACAGTTACCTGCAGTTTGATAAACACTTATTTGTGTTTGAAGCCAGCGTCTCTCAGCCAATCAGAAACTGTTGTTTCCTATTATCGACTGAAGAGAGACACAAATTTAAATTTAGCTTCCCTGTATCTGATAAACTCTCACTTCTTCACTCAGGGCTGGAGACTGAATTACTGCTGGTTTGATTCATCGAATTATTTATTGAGATAAAAAATTCAAAAGTTTAAAAACATTTAAATATTGTCACTTAAAAAAAAATTGTGACTGAATAAAGTGAATGAGGCGACAGAAATATTGGCAGCAGTGTGATAATTACATCCAGGTATGTGTGGTTAGGTGGGATCATTGCCCCCGGCAACACCACATGCCAACACTCATCGTCATGGTAACGCTTTGGTATTAACAGGGGGGTGGGGGGTGGAGGGATTGTATATATAAGAGACTGAGTGGTAGCAGTGATACGAGGAAGGGGGGGGAGGGGGTGGGGGGGGTGGTAATGTGGGCGACACGATGTTCACATCCTATACTAGCGGTTGCCATGGGAGACAGGCTGCATCCCTCCTGGTCCTCATACTGCAGCATCCGCTCGGTGCTGTCGCCATGGTGACATCCTCCAGAGAGAGAGTCAGACAGAGAGAGAGAGAAAGAGAGAGAGAGAGGGAGAGACA